TCTCCGCCGTCAAACGCTGGCGTTTCAAACCGACCAGTATCTCCAACAGCAGCGTCTCCTTGACCAGATGTGGCTCTGTTCACAGTCAAGAATCAAGTCTTCTTCAGAGTGCCATGTCCAGAAGAGAGTGATGAACGAAGAAGTCGCACTTGAGAATCTGAGGTACATGAGGCACAATGCTTTATCCAACGCCACGTGGCTGCCGCAGCACGCCGCAACTCCCCTGAAACGTCCTTCTGCCGGCACCGGAGTCTTCCTTCCCCGGCGATATCCAGCTACCCCTTCTGATTCACTTAAAAAACCTGGTACGGTTACAGTTTCAAGTCTTCTGTTTGTGTTGTATGTTTAAATAAATGTTTTTTCTTATGCTTCAAATGTTCTGACTTTTACTTTCAATTTTTTGTTTCTCTAGTGTCAGTCAACACAACAGCTGTATTGCAATCCAAAGTCAATCCTCCGCGTAGCCTCAACTTTGATGAGTTCACCAACGTTTGCTCAAGGCGTAGCCAGTTCGATTACGGTAATTTTTCTTAAACTAGAAACCCAAAAAACTGAGGTTTTGTATTAAGCAAAATGTTAATTTCTGTACGGTAATGATTTTGAGCAGATTGCATGTTAGCGAGAAGAACACTAGTTGCTCGTCAGGGAAATTTCAGAGCAGTCGGTGGAGTTGCTTGTCTGAATCAAGAGAGACGTCTTCCTCAGGATTGGATGTATTGAAACTCTTGTTCTGTTTGAAAAGTTTGAAACTCACAAGGAGCGTAGTTAGAAGTTGTTTGGTTTTAGGTTAATATAAATTGAGATTGTTATGTCATGGTTACTAGTAATAAGAACATGGGTAGTCAGAATAAAGTTTAGGGGATATTATAAGTGTGTTGCATTATATACTACTTATGTATTTTTTTTTAGTTACTAAGACAAAGCTCTCTGTAATTTTTTTGTTGACCTTGGGAGTGTTTAATGGAGTTGAGTGGAGTGGGGTAGTATTATTTTTTCACTTTAGTCGACTGAAGAAATTCAAAATGTGTTGGGTGGGGTTTTTTTGTTATCTGTATTAATTTTTATGGTTGTTTTCTCCTAGTTTTTGGAGGATCTAATGGGGTTTGTAATAAAAACATCGGAATTATTTTGTTTTTTCAATAATTGTTACGAAGCAGCTTCTCTATTCTTATCGACTTATGCTGGTATGCTTCTTCTTTTTTTTCAAGTACACATTTTCTTCCTTTACTTCTCCGTTTAATTAGTGAGAGAGTGCTTTGATTTTTGTACTTCTCAAATGTGAAAATTCAAAAAAGAAGCAAATAAAAAAAGAGAAAATGATACGTCGAGTACTGGGATCAAATCAAATGGATAGATACGTAATTTTTTTGAAAAAGAAAGAAGGATTATGACATGGAAACATGGAAAGAGGAAAAGAAGATCTGGAAAGGAAAAAAAAAAGAGAAAGGTTGCGTAGGCGTGAAGCAGTGGGATTAATATGCACAGACTTTGAAATACAGAACACACACCTTTTTATTTTTCATCTCTCTATAAATCTGATCTATTATCTGCTGTATATGTGTGGGATGTAGATTGTATGTCCTCTAAAATCTTCCTAATAAATTCTGCTTCTTTTTTTTTTGTTTGATATATTGTTAACTTTATAGTCGGGCCTAGTAATAAGTACAAGTTTCAATTTCTTAAAGATTTGTAAAAAACGTTATGAACATACGATCTGTAATTTAGTACATTTTTTCTTTTAAAATTACTGGATTTTTTTAAAAATTACTGGATTGAGAAACTTAGGAAATATAATGTTGCGAATTGCTGTAAATGAAAGGGTCATTCAACAGACTTTTGGATCCAAATAACAGATCATATTAACCAGAAGAAGAAAAATATGCAACAGCTTTTGTGATATGTCCATTTATACAGTATGTAAGTCCATCTCATCTCATTCCTAATATGGAAATAATTTTGTGTTATTATATTTTAATGAGCACTTTTTTTTTTTTTAATGAGCACTTTTTTTTTTTAATGAGCACTTTTATAACACTACAAGGACTTATCAACAAATGAAAAATACATGGTTAGACTTAATAACGAATATCAAAGTCAATAACCAGAATAAAACCAACACTATAAAATGGAAAAATAATAGAAGAAAGACCCTGGACATAATTTACTAATGATTCATTAATATTGAATGAATGTGTTTAGCTGGTTGGTTCATTGCTTTTATCAGAACTACATTGGAGTGGTGATAAGTAGGCTCAAAAATATACTTGTGTAAACAAAGCAAAGCTAGAATTGCAAAGATATCAATAGTTATTGGAAAACCCCTTATAACTATCCATAGTTTATTTCATTTTCAAATTTTGAAAGAGTTTCAATGCTTGGTGGTTCTCAGTAGGGTTGTATAGGTCCCATTTAGGTTGTTATCCCTTGATATTCAAGGATTTCATGGTTCGAATTCAAAAAATAAATAGTAGAGTTGAGTAGTACGTTGAAAGTAATCTCAGTGTACTAAACATTTCGTTCTAAACCCTCGTTGAACGCATTTAAATGGCACCAGGCAAAAGTAATTTTGTTTAATATTCACGTATGTGGTATTTCTTTGTTTTTTTTTGTTTTTGGTTTCACGTGTACGATTAATTTAAACAGCGTTTTGTTAGTTTCAAATCTTGAAAATAATAATAATAATATTAAAAATTTATATACATTTTGAGAGCGTTGATTGTTGCACACAATCCGCAAAAAGCCAACAGCAATCACACTTCTTGTTCAACACTGAACCATAATGCCTTTATGTGCCTACATCCATATACGGAGTTTCAACTCTCTTTAAAGATGGAGTCGGGAAAGAAACAAAAGAAGTGAAGCCACAAAAATCTAAAGACAAAAGAGTGAAAACATGTGTTTGGTTTGGGAGATGTGAATCCACGCAGCTTTCTCATTTGACTCGGTCAATCTTCGAATTTAATGTAATACAGTTTACTATGTTTGATTTTTATATTGTTATACCTGAAATACTGTTACTTTTCAAATAATAATGTTACAATACTTTACATTAACCGTCAATTATCATTAGTTGCTGTAAATTCAATTGAATCCTAGTTAACTTTTCATGCAAAATCATTCCCAACCAAATTGGAAGCACGCATGTATTATCTAGATATACACCAAAATGGGGGAGATATGATTAGGAGTGTTTATTCAAACCTAACCGAATATTGTTCAAATCAAAATCATCAAAAATATTGTAGAAAAAAAATATCTTGAAATATATATTCATAATATTCGGTTCGTATAAAATCAATTTTAAACTATACTCATATTTGTATGATCAGTTTTAAAATCAATTTTAAACTATACTCATTTTTGTATAATCAGTTTGAATCCTTCATTTGTTTCGAACCAAACAAACATAAAAACCAATACCATAGTATAGTAGTGAAAATAGCCACTCCTATAAGTCTATGACGGTGGGAGCTTATTATTATGTTTTGGTAGGTCATCATTGCTGATAATTTTCGAAAATATAATTATTTTTCAACCATTATGTCTCTCAGAGGACGACAAGGCGTCTATAAATATGGCAGCAGTGTGAGTAAAGCAAAAGCCATAATCAATATTCGTTATCTGATTCATCGGGTAATTTGGATTCCCTTCTACGCAATTGGATAATTTTGTTTTATTTGTATTTTATGTTGAATGGGCTAAATTAAGCACTAGAACTATAATTACAAACGGAGAAATATTCAGAAAGAATCCAAAATTACTCCTTCTCAGTCTTTTAAATTGCTCCCACATCTGCTCTTGGTGTTATGTATTTTGAGATTTTGAAGCCAGAGGCCTTCTTTCTCTTGGGCTTTCGAAGACCCAAGCCTGCCCAATGTTCAGGCAGGGTTACAACCCGTTTTGTCTGTTCTAAATCATATCTCTCCACATATCCCCATTCAAGAAGTCAAAATTATCATCACAGGCTCTTCTTTCCTCGATAAAGATACCCAATTGCAAGGAAAGTTTGAATCAAAAATGCCTTAAAAACATTGAAATCATGCACTTTATTATCTAATATAACACTAAAACCGCAAAGAAATCATTAGCCTAAAATTCAGAATTATTTGATGTTTAAGGTTTTTGCACACAGTTTAAAGATTCATTTAATTTTTATTTTTTCATATACTAAAAATATTATTTATAATTCATTTAAATATCATTCAGCCAATAAAAAGACTATCTGCAGAATATAAAAAGTCAAAAACTATAAAAATTCATTAAATTTTGCATTGAAAAGTGAGAATATCAAATAATTTTGAACAAAAAAAACCTTCTAAAACATCAAATAATTCTGAACAGAGGGAATATTTTTTTTTCAATTAGAATTTCCTAGGAAATGCAAGCTTTATACTTGTAATGTTTCGATATTCTATGATCTGGTGAAAATAGAATCAACAGAGTAATATCGAATGATTACGTTTTAATCTCTAGATCAGCTCAAAGCCCTTAAATTTTGTCTCAGCATCTGACTTGACACACCATTGTTCACCGTTCCCGTAAAATTCGATCGAGCTCGAGCATATTCAAGAGGAAAATGAGTATCTGCCTTCAAATTCTCACTTTCTCTATGATAGCCCTTGTTGAGTCCACTCCTTATCCAAGCAATATTGTTCAGATCAGTTGCTATAGAAACCAATTCTTGGTCTAGCGCTGGAGAAGAAGTTTCCTCAAAATCCACAAATTCTGGTCCCAGCAACGACTTGGATGATAATGACAATTTCTCGTCTGGATGGATACAGCAGCCATGACCGCATTTCGAAGGGATGTTAGGTTCATAACAAAGAGACTGAAGAAATTTACCGGCCAATGAGTCAGGTCTTGATGCTTGAACCAAAGGTCCCTCACATGGAGCCATATGAGGGTTCATGTATCCCGGCTTATAGACACTGAAAGCACCAATTCGAGGGACAGGGCGATAAACCTGAGGTTTAAACTTTTGTTCCCGAGGAGGCTCGTTGACTGCATCATCCATTTTAACATCATTTGATATCGGAGGGTCAGATGATCTGATGATTTCTTCTCGATGCAAACACTCTTTGGAGGATGCATTTGATATGTGTCTGACCATTGTTTCGTTGATGTAAGGAGTTGCTGTATTAGACATCAACTGATGATTCGTCCATAGATCGGCTTGTTTGCGTTTAAGAGCTGAGTTCCAGTGGTTCTTGATGGCATTATCTGTTCTCCCAGGTAAGAGTTTTGCAATCACGGACCATTTGTTCCCATGAACCGCGTGTGCAGACATAATCAGATTGTCCTCCTCATCTGCATTTGAGTTCAGTTTCATACAAAAATCAGATAGTAATAAGCAAAAGATCAAATCTTTATAGAATGATAACACAATCAGTTTGCTCCAAGAAAAGGCTAAAGCTTAAAGCATCTCTATCTGGTTCTGAAAAAGCTAACCATTACTTATTCGTACATGAGAAATTCATATGAACAAGTCCACAAAGATCCTGAATCAATCAAAGTTATGCGAAAATGAAGATGATAAATACACATCACTGAAGCTAACATTAGACACAGATAAGGATAGCTCAAAACCAACTTAGCTCCACAAGTCACAAAACACACAGAAAAATCCATCGCGATCAAAAACCCAGGAAGCAGGAATCTAATGGAAACACGCGAAGATGATTCGAGAGCAGTGCATAGATTTTTACCAGTGAAAGGTTTCCGTTTGAGACAAGGATCGAGCTGATTGCACCACCGTAATCGGCAAGATTTCCCAGAGCGACCTGGGATTCCACGGGAGATGAGAGTCCAGTTTCTCGGCCCCAGCTTGTTCACAAGCCTCGTGAGAACCGCATCTTGATCCACCGACCAAGGTCCCTTCGTTTTGCTCCTTCCGCCGCAGCCGCCGTTCGAGTCTCCTCCTCCACCTCCAGCTGCCGCTAACTCGGCGAGCTCTGCGTCAACTGCTGCGTTTATCGTCTCTACCGAGCCATCGAAAGCCGTAGACGGATTCTCCGGCGGCATCGTCTTCAGCGTTTATCGGAAGCTAAACTTTTTTTGTTTGTCTTGTTCAGAAAAACAAAATTGAATTTCAAAAAAATGTGAGTCGATTGTCTTCTCTCTCGGGAGAGAGAAAGGTCCGTACCTGCCTAACTGCAAAGGTGAGTGGGGTTCGTTTTTGGTCACTCGAAATTACATTCTTACCCTTTTCTCTCTACTCACCTCCTCCTCCAAAACCGTTCGCTAACCTTTTTCACCTCCATTAAATTTTTTACATAGTAAAAACGAAATTTGACGGTATGACCACCTAAACATATATCCATAATTACCAAAGATAAACAATTAATACTATATAGTTTTTGAATGTTAACAAAATAGAAAACATATCAATCAATCCATTACGGACTGTAGTATGTTTTAGTGCGGATCAGTTTTTTTTTCTTCATGAAAAATGACCCCCAAAAAGATCCTTTTTTTCATATTTCTAGTATGCTACACACCATAACAAAATTTCTGAATGATGAAAGAATAATATGCACCGACAATTCAAAAATTCTAAATGGTGACGGATTTGAACGGTGGTTAAGATCATTATATATCAATCCGCTAAATCTCTAATCCACGCCATTAATGATCGGCAAGAATTTGATAATCTCCTCTAGTTTCGAAATTTCAATTTAATTCTTCTAAATATGTTTCCACTTAGTAGTACAAAAGAAATTTATTGCATTTGCATCTAAAAAAAGTTGATCAATAAATATTTTAGGTTTTCTTTTGCCAACAAGCGTTGATCACTCAATAGAGAAATAGTGGAACCAGAGGTGGTTGAAAAGTGAACGGAACATATATATTTTTTTCATGACCAAGATCATCTGTCAAATTTTTTTAAAAGCCGTTAATAAATGCCCAAGATGTCCATTAATGTTATGAGACTAGAAAAATAATCATTTAAAAAAATGAGATTTATGTATATATGATGGTAATTTTTGGAGTTGCTCACTCTCGAAGTTTTTGCGTGGTCCTTGCAAGAATAATTAAAAACATGGCACAGGTCAAGCAAAGCATAATCTCCTTCCTGAAACATGCCATGCTTTAGAAATATAATCATTATTTCATTATCTAATCCTGCGGTTAGTAAGTGTGTGCGTACATAACATACATTGATGCGTGACAAATGAGGCCAAGTCAGTTGGAGCAACTTTGAACAAATAAAATTTAATCAAAGTTATTAACACGCCCTATAATGATACTGATTAATCGTGATTAATATTTCAGAATCGTCCTTTGATAAGTGATAAGTTAATAAAACCAAAAAAAAAGAGTCAGAAGTTAGTAAAGGCATGCATTCATGATCTCCATTGGTAATTTTAAGCGTATTTAAAAGTTGTGTAAGAACCTTCAAGACAAATTCTCAAACCACAAAACCATGCTTGGTTGAATATACATGTGCTTAGATCAAATAGAAAGATAGAATTTATTAAAAGTTCTTTGATTAAAACATCTAATTAACAAGTAGAATTCAGAGAGATAAAAGGCCATCCGTATAATGACAAAACTGTAACTCTTCAATTAATTCCCCAAAGTCAACGACTTCATTCTTGCACGTGTAATAAATCTTTATCCGACTCGGAAACAGAACCTGGAAGAGCACAAAATCAGATTGTATATCATGAACCCTGATCGGAAACGAAGGATAGTAACGGATCAACGTTTCCTTAAGCCCGATCCGGTGCGTTTTAACCCAATCACATCCATTAGTTGAGCCATTCCTCGTCCAAATCTCCATGCTTGGTTCAACTGAATTGTAGTTTATTACTGAGAGATTCCCTCTGATGCCACATAAGCTAAAGTCGTGATTAGGATTGTCTTCAAAACATGGTGGTGGAGGCAGAACTGAGATCTTCTCTTGCTCTAGAGAGAATGACACTATCTTTGGAACATCTTTTGTTGTCCAGTAAACGAATCCATCAGCTTGAACCGGAGGGTATGGTTGTAGAAGGTAAGGACATTGTTGTTCTTGTGATCTCCATGGAGAGATCTCGAGATGATGTTTGTAATTACTTCCTCTGATGTTAACGGTGAGTACCTCGAATTTGCATATTGGGTAATAAGGAAGGAAAAATCTGATGATTTTGTATTGTAACGTCGAGGAAACGAATCCGAAGGAGATAACATTAGGGGAAGAAGTAGAAGAATAAAAAGAGGAGGATATGGGTATTTCTAGGGTTTTTTGGTTAATAGGGTCAAAGAGAAAGTGTTCCTTGTTGTCGGATACGAAACATAGAAACTGATGGTTAGAAGAGAAAACTCTGACTCTGTCTCCAAGAAAGCGTTTTGTGATTGGTTGTTGTGTTTGCTCATGGTTGAGTTTTGTGAAGAGGAAGAGTTTGAGCTCTACGGTAAGGGATGATCTGAGAGCGGTTAAGACGGTGAGTATGGAGAAGGAGTTTAGAGAAGTTTGGTGGTGGAGACGGAGGAGGTAAGGTTCGGAGATTACGGAGTTGAATTGTTTTGAAACTAATCGGAGTTTTGGTAATGTTTTGCCTGGAAGAAGAGAGAGGATTTTGAGAATAATTTCCGGAGGCAGATAAGAAGAGAACATCTTTGGAAAGTATCACAGAAAATTAAAGAGACATATGTATCATGTATGTATATGTATGTATGTACGCCAACACTTCAGGTTTGGAAGTTAAGAGTTAGAAGTCAAGTATTACATCCAATTCACTTTACTTATTTTTAATGTCTTAAACTTTACAAAGTTTTACAGCATGATTACACAGTTTTCTTTTTATAAAATCATAAAACTATAATGTTTGTTTTGGACTTCTATTAAGTATTTTTTATATGTACGTTATACCTTAATGGTATTAAAAATATCGTCAATGAAAGTGGTATATCATGACTTTTCTGGAATGAATTATTTGATAATTTTCCAAGGTAGTTTTACATATGTATCTTTTTTCCAAAGTCATTAATCATAATTGCTATTTCCTCGTCTTCCGGCAAACCATCCGTTTTTTTTTCTTTGATTAGTTTGCTAGCTTTAGATATGTACATGAAAAAGTAAGGAAAAACTATATCTGGATCTTTTATTTGAGAGATATATGTAGTTTAGTGATTTGTTGTAGAATCGTCGTTCTGCCAAAAACATTTTGGTTACGCGAAACTATAGAAGACAAAGGACGATATAAACCATGGTTAAACCGGTAAATCTTTCTCATGTTTACAACTTTTTTTTTGTAATGTCAAAAAAAGGACAATATATGTGACTATTCGGAATTGTATTGAATAAAATAAAAAAATTGAAGAATTGAGAAGAAGTACAAATGTCTCAGCTTTGGGTGCTTAACCAAATCATGTTTAGAACTTTCCTTAACAAAAGAAAAAACAATTCAGCTTCAACATTTTGAAATCAATGATCTAAACTTCTAGACCGAAACAATCATCTTTATAAATAACAAACTAAAATATATGTTAAAGTGTAATGAGTTTTCAATTATACATAATGTATCATATATAGTGGGGGTAATGTTCTAGAGTAGGAAAGAGAGGTAGTGAGCGACAAGAGCAGTACTGTAGAACTGGAGTTTTTGTCTTACGAAGAGCCAACATTTACATATACTGTATGTTCTCCACACTTACATATTTCCAGATAACTCACTTTTGTTTTCGATTCTTACATTATCAATGTCATTTTGATTTTTATATATCGACAGACCACGCATGCCCTATTTACCCTACCAATTTGCATGCTCTATATGCATGTCTGCGTCTACAAGCACATTATATACGAACGATCACTTCTGACTGTGACTAAATTTATAGAGGACATAATTTTCATTTCATAGTATTCTTTCATATTGAAAACATATTGATTCATAATGACTTAGTGATTGTAGTCCTCCGCTTTTCCGCAACGCACATTCATAGACAAAAGATGTTCAAATTATCCTATAAGTTTCTTTGTGATGGAAAATCCCTATACTTTTGAAGTCTTTGCTGAAAGACATCGCAAAATGCAACTCATAAAAAAACAATTTTAGAGAGCATGATATCGAATACCACTGGAATATTAGAAATATGCCGTGAATGAACTTGATCGATCGGACAAATTTAATAGTATTAATGATAATACATATATAATCTTGAACTTTTTGTTACTATTTTGTCAAAAAAAAAATATCCAGAAAGCCAAGATTCCACAGTAGACTGTTTTGCATGTGAAAATTTTGAATGGTGAAAATGACAATCATGTGACGTCTATCAGCCAGTTAATTATTGACATGCATAATGCTACTTTTGTATCATAACATTTCATATGTATGTAGTCATGTAGATGTTGCATTAGATCCATGCATGATTCATGCAGAATGAAAATTTTTAGGGGTCATTAATCATATGACCGTATCTTTGACCTGAACCTGCTCGTATGGTTGTAACTTGAAAGTATAATTATACCGTACTAGAGAGAATAATTTAGGTTTCAAAGTATCATACAATGTAACAGCTACTAAAATCAGCCAATCAGGTATCATTTGACGACGTTCTTTGTGAATCAATGTGGCATTCACCATTGAAACCATACCAAAAGAATCTATACGAAGGGTTCTGGTGCCGAAAGAGAAAGGGAACATTGATGGACCACACTTCCTTTTGTATTATCAAAATAAGCAAATAAAAGACAAAAACAATTAATAGTGTCACCCAACTTGTGGGGGATATATAATTTTGGGATAGCGTGTTTTGTTTGGGTGGTTAATTTCTCAAGTAAATCTCTTGCTTTAAAGAAAAAAAGGGATAAACATTTAGTCAGTTCCCATCATAAATAGAAAGTTGTATTATAAGAGTCGATGAAAGAAAAAAATATAATTTTGTGATTATGTTAGTTAGTATTGAGTTGGTGGTAAGAGATGCTAGATCAATTTTTCCATTATGGCGCTGATTTTAGTTGATACATCTTCTTCATTACGTTATATCTCTATTTGCATACAGATTTGAAATTTAGAGAAAATAGTATGTCAGAAAATTAAAAAGATTATAGGAGCCCTGAGCTTCTAATATCTTTTTTGGTCGAAACTCCGAGCTTCAATTTTATTTGTATTATTTGAAGTCATTTTATCCAATCAGATTAAAAATATTACTGCCAATTTTGCTCTGCTTTTTTTTTTTTCTATAATATATGAGAAATTTATTTTTTGAAAAATACAAAATGTTAAAATCAAAATCTACAACTACGATCTCATAGACTCAAACAATCAACATACCATGGACTTACCGCAACATGGTTGCTTCCGTCCGCCAAAATCATACGGACCATGCACTCTTTTGAAGATAATAAATTATATTTTAAACACAAAATCACCATACTGTATAATCTTACAGCTTATTCTATTCTTTCCTCTTTACTAAACCCTTAAGTGTGGAAACCCAAAAATGGAAAAATAATGACAATAGAACGAACAACAAACTTGAAGAAGGTGGAAATTAAAAGATAAAAGGATACCAAGGGTCCAAGGGGTTGATACAACCACATTGCTCCCAACTTTTAGAGAGAGAGAGAGAGAGAGAGAGAGAGAGAGAGAGAGAGAGAGAGAGAGAGAGAGAGAGAGAGAGAGAGAGCAAATTCCCTATAGCAAGTAGAGGATGGATCCAAAGGGATCGCATTGATCCTAAGTAAGATGAATTCTCCTCATTCTTTTCTTAATCATTCGCAAAAAAAAAAGTCCCAAAAATTTGCTTGGTTTTGGATCATGCTATCCCTTTGGATTCTTCCTTTGGCAGCTTCCTCTTCGATCAGATGGTTTTAACTTTTAACTAAATAAACCAGCCAGATGCTTTGCCAGAAACCTTGTTGGCGTAAAGATTCTTCGACGCTTTGGTCTCAGGCTAACAACACCAATATAGTTAACTCTCTTCTTACAAGTAAGTTTTTAAGATTTTTGACATAAGCTAATCATGCTAGGAAGACCTATCTGTCTTTTTTTGTCTTTATTGTTATTTGAAATTTTGGGATCGTATTTCCAATTGAAGTTAGCAGAAAACCTTGAAATATTTACTATATATCGATATCATATATACTCTATGAAATTCAAGTGACCTTTTCGAAGAAGTCACTTGAAATTTATCTTATAATTAGTTAAAAAAATTCCCTGAAAGTACCTCCATGGCCATTTTCTGAGAACTTTATTTTTTTCAGTTATATACATGGTTTATATTGGTGCATATTGATGGATATACACTTTAGTTTTCTCAGTTATGTACATGGTGTATATTGATTCATATTGATGGATATATATATATATATATATCTGTCATCTTTCATATTTATTCCCCAAATATATGGTAGTACAACTTTATATTCATTCGAAACTACTTTGTACTCATGCTTACATTTTGAAATCCCAAGTCCCGAAGTCGTTGGATCCCGTTAGAGGAGTACGTACATGTAATTCAATGATGGTAGATGCTCTTACTAAAAGAAAAGAGAAGATTTGGCCTTCAAATTGAAAATAAAGAATTAACTATAAACGACGAATCCAAGAATTAAACGACGAGAAAAATTGAACCTTACAACACATAAAAAAAATTTTATTAAAAACGTAATTATTATGGAAAATCTTATCGCAAATTACAAAGGAATAGAGATGAATTTAACTTAGTTACCAACAAATATACATATTACAATTTATTTTCGAACAAACAAATAATTTCTATCCAGAAAGAAAGCATGGCGTGAAATATCTGAATAACACTATTCGAACACATAAGCTATGCAGCTAGTTAATATTGTGGCTATTTAAATCCAATATCAAAAAAATTGCAACGATTTTACGACAACTTTCTTTTACTATTTACATCACAAACTCTATCGCAATTTTGACATGCTATCTGAAAATAACAGCTCACGATTAAGTTGAGGACACCATCATTAGTTCCATGGTTGACTTGCAAGCATGGATACGCATATCGTACATTCAATATACATATCTTTATCGAAATTAAAATACTAATTAAGTAGTTTGTGTAAAAGAAGGAAGGAGCCAATATATATATATATATATACATATATCTGAAGAAATCAAATTAAACCATTAGAAAAACAAAAAAATGGGAGCAGAATCATGGCATTGAAATTGATGTTGTTTAGTTGCAAAAGATATTGCTTGTGGACCGGCGGATATGGAAGAAGGACGATGTGTTTATTCATATGCGAGATTTATAATTTCATTGTCTCCTTCTACCCCTACATTTTGCTATTTTTTTTTTTTTTTTTACATTTTTTTTTACATTTTGCTATTTCGCATGCTTCCGGTTATTTTTACGAGACTCAAAGCTTATAATTTTTGTATCTTTGTTTTTTTTGTTATTTTTGTTATCTTTGTATCTTCCGGTCTGCTGATAGAAGAAATTTCTCTGATTTATTCAAAGTAAAAGAAAAAAAGTTTTGTAAAATTTGCTTTTGTTGTTAAAACGGTTTAAATAGTTCTACGGTTAATATTTAACCGATTGTGTCTCTCAATTTATATGATCAATTAGTAGCCTGGCCTGTAAGGCACGTGATATATTTCTCTCGATGGGACTTTGAACCTGTAATATGGCTCACTGTCTTTCTCACTCTTCCTAAACGTGAGCCAATGTGAGCTTACGTGTATTGCTGAAACGAGACCAAGTTTCATTATTTTACACATTGGTCTTAATTTCTCATGGTGAAATTCTCTTGCTGTTCCATGGAAATTCACGGGATCAAAACTCACTCGGTTTTAGTAAATTCAGGAGCCTATGAGAGCCTATGTTATAAGAACTGCTAGACAATTGTGTGGTGGTGTTCTAATATCTAGTGCCTAGACCGAAAAAAGTCAAAACGTGCCTAAAACTAGTTTTGAGCAAACTAATCGTTGAACATAAATAAGTAACTACTTAGATTAGATTTATCAGGTATAAATTTAGGTCGTATTAAAACTTTACTAACATTCTTTAATTTATAAGAATCTTTAGAAAATTTTAAGTTTGAACTTGTATAAAAGACAGACTTGCAATTTTTCAGCGTCTTCGCTGAAAAAAAAAAAAAAAAATTTCAGCGTCTTCATGGGCTCAGTTAAAAAAGCCCATTAGTAGTACGCTCAGCTCGGCCACCTTCAAGCCCATGAAAGCTAACGTATAACTACTATGATTACGGTTCCACACGTGCCATTTCTCCTCCTGGCGCAAAAGCATCACACCCGGTTTATGATAATCCAGCTTGGACCAAATTGCACCGATGTCATTTCTGCTCTCGTCTTCATGACCATATCATGGTTCTGTGTCTGGCGAGCCAGATTGAACCGTTGTAGAAGAATCCAAAACCTTCTCTTCTTGCAAATTTTAACATAAGGATACACAGTGTTTTGAGATGTCTTTTTTTTGCATCTTGATATCCTATAAATTAATTGTTCTTCTCATGAAACTTTTATTAGTGAAGTTTTTAACCAATTGTTTATATTCCTACCGAACTAAAGATGGTCCAAAAGACGTTTTCTCTTTTTCCTTTCTTTTAGCGTATTTAAAGCAATTCAAAGTTTGCTTATAGGAATCAAATAAATCTATACTTTGTTATAAAGTGACCTTGAAATTTGTTGCGTCCACAGCCTTCAGAATTCTTTAAGGTCCATTATTAAGGCACTACAAAGCATCTAGGATATAACGATATATACTTATTCCTAATTATTTTGTTGTTATTCATAATTTTTTTTTCAACTATCATATAATATACATATTCCTGTTACAGTGTTACTCAATATCTAAAACTTGTAAGCAACTACACGAGCGGTTACATAATATCATACAATGTTAATTAGAGTATTTACTGAAAACGTAGGAAAACATGTTTTTGTAACTTTGAAAGAATAACTGATGACATAAAAAAAAATAACTAATTTTAAATCATCCCTTTTTTTTTTTTTGTCACAGGATAATACATTCACTTAAAATAGATTCGCTAAAATCATCATACATATTATTTTTGAACATAAAAACAATATTCGTCCATAACCCCACACAGAACATAAAACACTGCTAGAGAAAAGGAAACTTCACTAATAAAAGTTATTAATATCCACCATCTGTCCTATTCTCTGCAAAGAATTTGGCTTTTGTCATTGTCAGTGAGTGGCATATAATTTCCGTAATCCAAGTCGCTCGGATCTTGTTCTTAAAATCAAGCATATTGGGTAACTCTGTCTCTAGGTAAATGTTAAAATTGAAAGTTATATGACGTACACTAGCTTACCTAAGAGAAAGCACAAGAAGAATACTGATTTGAGCAACAACAAAAAAACACTGGTTTGAGCATCTCAAAAGTAATTAACAGCAACTTTGTTATGATAATTTCTTATGAACATTTTCTTTTTCAATCAAGAGTGTCTCTCCAGAAAGACAGAAATGATAGATTTTGCTATGTTGTCTATTCTCTTCTTCTTTAAACAATGCAGATGTATATTTTTGACAAGAAAATAAAAGAAAAAACAATGCAGAAGTATTTGCGTCTACGTAATCGCTGAAGGTTATCTAAAATTAATTTTTATTAAAGAAAGATTTTGGTATCTATAAACCATTGTTAAGAAATACTATAATTTATGGAGTCCGTTAATTAATTTGTACAGTTGAAGAATACAGAAAAACTGAGTTGGGAAAACAGTTGGTAATTACAGTTCCAATTGGCTTCATGTTTGTGGGAAGGTGTGACATTCTGCCATTACTTCACCCAATAGATTGTAAGTTGTGTAACTTGCATGGCCGCAACTTGCTCTCCAGAATAGGTGTCCATATAATAAAGATGATTTTTTATTAATTAATATGATTTATTTCGATGAATACTCCAGTGATTATTCTTACATACTCCAAAATTATTCTTTATTTTGACAAAAGAACTTTTTTATATGAAAAAAGTTAATATTGTGAAAAAGGAAAGGAGTTGAAGTTCTAAATGATCTAGTCAAGAGACTTTCTTTTAGCTAGAAAGTATCACCGCAGTCCGCAAATAATGTTTTTTTAGATATTGAAGTTCTCTTTTCTGTTCAAAAAGATAGAAGAAAGTAAGTTTTCTGTAACAAGAAAAAAAATAAAAGTTTGATATAAACTTTATAGTGATAAATGTTTTAGTCTTAAGGTACATTCAATGTATTTTTAAACTGATTTAGAAGTCTTTTGTTTTGAAAAATAATTATTTCTTATGGAATCCTTTTCGATCTCTAGATACGTAACTTCTTTTTAACAAACATAGTAATATGTAAAGTCGATTTATCTTTTTTTTTTTTTTTGGTTAAAATGTAAAGTCGATTTTCCATACTTGTCTTTTCCTATATTATACAGTGTTTGTAATCCCGGATATCAGCCTAACATTTATCTAAACTATAAAGCAAATCGCTATCAACATTTGATATTTTACCTAGCGTGTTTCTTTCTCCTTGCTAAAGTTTATACAAATAATGTAAGGAAAACCAAAAAATCAAGACAAAAATTCAGTTACAAACATCCGAATCTAAATTTAGTTTTGTGTATTGTGAGGTAAAAAAAAAATAGCACTAATGCGGATGATTAATCAACAAATTAGCAGCGGTTAGCAACTTGCATAGCTACACAAAAAACAAAACAAATCTAATGTATATAGATGAATCCATATTTTAAAATATGAAATCTGTTTACAAAACATATTTTCTCCTTACAAATAAACTTCTTATTATATGTCAGTAAAATGTATTTTTTATGTTAAAAAAGTGTATTTTCTCGAAAGGATGAATTCATAACCTTCTTATTATAAAATAAAATAAGCAAACGAAAAAAAAATAGAAGAAGAAGATATTGTCAACCGTTAAGAACTCGAGATCGCCTGACTGGACCAAAAACAAAAAAAAAAAACAAAAGTTGCTGACAGAAAAAAAAAACCTCAAATCAATTGGAAAGACATTCATTAGGCCGAAATATGTTTCTTTTTTAATTTTTTCATAACATTGGCCATTCTTATTGGATCTCAAGCAAAACAAAATTTCAGACCAGAGACCTGAGACCTCAAAAGCTCAGACCCACCAGATTTTTTTATTTGTGTCGTAATTAACGAGCGCTAATAATACAGACAGTGATTCATCTTGTTTTCATCGATTCTTAATCTTCCTTTCTTTGACCGAATAGATTCTGTTTCAGTTGCGAATCGAGCTAGATTCTTGGCTTCATTTTCTTCCAGAGAAATTTTTTTTTTTTTTAAATTCGTTTTTCGCGGAATAACAATAGAAAAGACAGTGAAGGGGAACAATTCGCTAAAAAAGGCAAATTCTATATAAATCAGAAAAGCTGGCTTTCTCAGAATTTCTTCATGTGGTCGAAGAAGGAGGAGGAGGAGAAGAAAGGGAAAGGCTCTTAGTTGCAGAGACACAAGAGCCGTTTGTCAGAGAAACCATGAACGCCACCGAAGCTAAGAATCGCAAAATCATTGTCGGAGACGATATTGATATCGAAATCCCCGATACTGCTCATCAAATTAGCAGCGGTTTGTATTTCGTTTTCCCCTCTTTTTCTTTTGTTATTTAATCCAAAATTGTTTTTTTATTAATGGTTTCTTATCTGGGGATTGATGCCCATTTTCAGTTTCTTTAATACTTTTGTTTTCACTACGAGAAACATTTTTTACCAGGAAGAGTAAATTAAACCTAAAAGAATCACATTTGCCTCTTCTGTAGTCTTGAGATATTAAACGGAATCGTTTACGAGCTAAAATGGCTTCTCTGTAAAAATGTTGACTTTGATGACTCTGGTTACTTGAAAATGCTGCATTTGATGATAATTCTGACAACGACCCTTTCGTCAAATTGTTGGCTTTGATTATTTTAACGGCCACACTTTATCTCCAAAATGTTGTCTTTGATGGTTCTGACGACGGCCCTTTCATCAAAATGTTGTCTTTGTTGATTCCGGAATGTTATAGTTCAATTTCCTTGATGGGTTTTCTCTCTCTGCCTCTCAAAACGTTTTACAACGATAAGATTGCTTTGCCAAACTCTATTTTCAATGGTCTTATTTATAATTTGAGATCACATTATGGGGAAAAGCTAAGTATGCTTTGTGGAATGTACAGATTCATGGTTTCAGGTGGCGTTTGTTCTGACAACCGGTATAAACAGCGCGTATGTGTTGGGATATTCGGGAACAATCATGGTTCCTTTAGGTTGGATTGGTGGTGTGGTTGGTCTTATTCTTGCTACTGCAATCTCTCTTTATGCAAACACTCTCATAGCTAAGCTTCATGAGTTTGGTGGCAGAAGACACATTCGCTATAGAGACCTCGCTGGTTTCATTTACGGTAAAAGCAGCTCTTTTAGTTTGCTTTCTGTTTCTCTTTCCCTGTTGTTACTTTCATTGAAATGATTGATCTTCTTTTTTTTTTTTTTTGTATCAGGTAGAAAGGCTTATCGCCTTACATGGGGATTGCAATATGTCAATCTTTTCATGATCAATTGTGGATTCATCATACTAGCTGGTTCCGCCTTAAAGGTTTAGTCATTATCTCCTCTCTTGATTCTTGATTTTGGTGAGCTGAGTTAGTTATTTTGGAGCGTGTTCTGTTTCTGCAGGCTGTTTATGTTCTTTTCAGGGATGATCATGTCCTTCAATTACCTCATTGTATAGCCATTGCGGGTCTGATCTGTGCTATCTTCGCTATTGGAATTCCTCATTTATCGGCTCTTGGAGTATGGCTTGCAGTTTCGACCATCCTCAGCCTCATCTATATCGTTGTGGCAATCGTGCTATCAGTTAAAGATGGTATATAACTCAAAATGATGATCAGGCTTTAGCTTATACTTATAGCTACTGATAAATCTGATTCCTTTGCTCTTTATTTTTGGTTGTTTGTAGGAGTGAAAGCACCTTCAAGAGATTACGAGATTCAAGGATCATCACTAAGCAAAATTTTCACCATCACAGGAGCAGCTTCAAATCTTGTTTTCGCATTCAACACTGGGATGCTTCCAGAAATTCAGGTGACTATTTCATTTTTTTCTCATATGTATGTATACACAGACGCATAAATGATCATTTGTTTTTGTGAGTGTGACACTAAATGTTCTGCTTTGGTAGGCGACAGTGAGGCAACCGGTGGTGAAAAACATGATGAAAGCTCTATACTTTCAATTCACAGCCGGTGTTTTACCGATGTACGCGGTTACATTCATCGGATATTGGGCTTACGGATCCTCAACCTCGACTTATCTGCTAAACAGCGTTAATGGCCCACTCTGGGTCAAAGCCCTTGCTAACATCTCTGCTATCCTTCAATCTGTCATCTCTTTGCACGTAAGTTTCTCTTCAAAGAAAACAGCTTCTCAACATCAAGTTTTATGTTTCTTGTTCTCAAACTATATGTGTTCAAGCCCTTCTTTCTCAATTTTTTGTTGTAGATTTTTGCGAGTCCAACATATGAGTACATGGACACAAAGTTTGGGATCAAAGGAAACCCATTTGCGTTAAAGAACTTGCTGTTCAGGGTCATGGCAAGAGGCGGATACATCGCGGTTAGCACGCTTATCTCGGCTTTGTTGCCTTTCCTTGGGGACTTCATGAGCCTCACTGGTGCAGTGAGCACATTCCCTCTCACATTCATTTTAGCCAACCACATGTACTATAAGGCTAAGAACAATAAGCTCAATCCTGTTCAAAAGCTATGGCATTGGCTTAACGTTGTTTTCTTCAGTTTGATGTCTGTTGCTGCAGCCATTGCAGCTGTTAGGCTCATTGCTGTTGATTCCAAAAACTTCCACGTTTTTGCAGATCTGTAATTCATTTATACACACACATATATCTACATAGTCATTGTATTTTTGTTCTTAGGCAATATGTTTCTTTCTCCTACTCTTTTTTTTTGTTTCGTTTTTAACCATTAGATCCTGAATAAAACTTATATAATGTAAAAAAAAAGTTTACAAATTACCATTTCCATGATAGTACTTTAAAAGTTTACCAACGAAGAATGATTATATCAATGACTCAAACTGCTCGGTATTCACTTTCTAAGTATCCCTTTTGTCTTGGATCTTTTCTGCAATAACTTTGAGGTGGACTTAGTAGTTAAAGTTTATTGCCAAACCTCATGACTAGACGTGACCAATCGCTTAAACCACTTTAACTGGTCGGTAGTGGAGTTCACACTCGACGGCAGCTCGTTGGGACCAGTACATGTATAAAATAATTTTGAGTCTAAATAATGCATGTGCGAGAAAACAATGTTCAACCGTATTTTGAACTCTATCATCAATGTGTATGGCCATTGACCACTACTTTCAAAATAGAAAGTAGCAAATCATTATAAAAGCTGCCTTTCTCAAAATATATTTATGTGGTAGAAGAAAGAGGGAGAGAAGAAAGGAAAAGAGCTCAATACAGCTGCAGAGACTACAAGTGCAAGAAACCATGAATGACACAAGAGACAAGAATCGCATAAGCAGAGAAGATTTTGATATCGAAGTCCCTGACACTGCTCATCAGATTAGCAGCGGTTTGTAATTCGTTTTTTCCCCACTACTTTCTCTCTTGTTATATGATTTGACCCTTTTTATGCTTTTGTGGAATGTGCAGATTCATGGTTTCAAGTGGCGTTTGTCCTGACGACTGGTATAAACAACGCGTATGTGTTGGGATATTCGGGAACGATCATGGTTCCTTTAGGTTGGATTGGTGGTGTGGTTGGTCTTACTCTTGCTACTGCAATCTCTCTCTATGCAAACATTCTCGTAGCTAAGCTTCATGAGTTTGGTGGCAAAAGACACATTCGCTATAGAGACCTCGCTGGATTCATTTATGGTATAACAGAACCAAACCAGCTCGCTTAATTTGCTCTGTTTCTCTTCTCTGTTTTGACATGGATCTGTCTCTCTATTTTTGAATCAGGTAGAAAGGCTTATTGTCTTACATGGGGATTGCAATATGTCAATCTTTTCATGATTAACTGTGGATTTATCATCCTAGCTGGTTCTGCTTTAAAGGTAGTTAAGTAGTAACCATTTTTTTCTCAGGTTCTTGATTCAGTGAGCCGAGATAGTTAATTTTGAGGCGTGTTCTGTTTTGCAGGCTGTTTATGTGCTTTTTAGGGATGATCATGCCATGAAACTACCTGATTTTATTGCCATCGCTGGTCTGTTTTGTGCGGTTTTTGCGATTGGGATTCCTCACTTATCGGCTCTTGGGATATGGCTTGTAGTTTCGACCATCCTCAGTCTCATTTTCATTGTTGTGGCAATTGTGCTATCGATTAAAGATGGTATAATTTAAGTGATGATCAGGCTTCAGTTTCAAATACTTATGGATTTTATTGCTACTGATAAACATGATTTTTCACTCTCTTTTTCTGTTTCTTCTTCTTTGAAGGAGTGAAAACACATTCTAGAGATTACGAGATACAAGGATCATCATTAAGTAAACTCTTTACCATCACAGCTGCGGCTGCAAATCTTTTTTTCGTATTCAACACTGGGATGCTTCCAGAAATTCAGGTGATCGATTTTTCTTTGAGATTTCATTTTTATGTTTTAGGCTTCAACCGTTTGTTTGGGTTTCTTTGATGTTTAGGAATGCGTATTTTTGTACTTCTTAATAAAGTCTACAACAATTACTATCTTGAGCATCATTTTTGTTTAGTTGTAAACACAAACGAATGAAAAAAACAACTTATGTTTGCATTCACCTTTAGCAAATATTTTCTAAAATGTGATTTTTGTGTTGTTGTTGTTGTATGCAAATGCAGACACATAAATATTTTTTTTTTTTTGGCTTTGGCAGGCGACAGTGAGAGAACCAGTTGTGAAAAACATGATGAAGGCATTATACTTTCAGTTCACAGCCGGAGTTTTACCAATGTTCGTTGTTACATTCATCGGATATTGGGCTTACGGATCCTCAACCTCCACCTATCTGCTAAACAACGTTAATGGCCCAATATGGCTCAAAGCCCTCGCTAACATCTCCGCTTTCCTTCAGTCCGTTATTTGTTTGCACGTAAGTTTCTTTGCATTTGACCCTTTCAAACTATTTGCAACGTATATTTGATGTTGTGAATACAAAAATGCTTAAAAAGAAAAAGTTCCTTTAACAACAAAAATGTGGTAAAAACAAAAAATCTAAAGGCTGCCTACTAATCTTTTGTAACCCATTATATAACTTAATTCTTTGTTTGTAGATTTTTGCGAGTCCAGTATATGAGTATATGGACACAAAGTTTGGGATCAAAGGAAACACGTTGGCATTAAAGAACTTGTTGTTTAGGATCATGGCGAGAGGCGGGTACATCGCGATTAGTACGCTTCTCTCGGCGTTGTTGCCGTTCCTCGGGGACTTCATGAGCTTTACTGGTGCAGTAAGCACAATCCCTCTCACATTCATTCTAGCCAACCACATGTACTATAAGGCCAAGAACAATAAGCTCAATTCTATGCAAAAGCTATGGCATTGGCTTAACGTTGTTTTCTTCAGTTTGATGGCTGTTGCTGCCGCTATTGCAGCTCTCAGGCTTATAACCGTTGACTCCAAGAACTTCCACGTTTTTGCAGATTTGTAATTCATATATAGTCACTGACTCCTTGTATATTTATTCTTAAGCTTGTAATCCCTTTTTTTTGTTTGACCATTATGGGTTAAATAAAATATTTTCAAACTACTTTGATGATATCAGTTTCAAAGTTTCAATCAAAAAATGGTTGGATGAATTAATAAAACAAAAATGATAGTTCCGTAATCTTAACGAAACTCCTTCTCTAATATCTAATTAATAAAGGTCGATAGATATCTCTATCAAATTAAAAACTTCTAATAGTCAGTTACTTAATCATCTCTATTAGAAATGGAATCATATTAGGGAAGAATATAAACAGATAAGATAACTAAAAAGCCTAAATTTAGTGAGGTAGAGAAGGTAAAATAAATACAAAAACAGAATTTGTTGTTTTGTTTAATGGATTTTTTTATAAACCTGACCAATGATTTGCTGTTACATTTCAAAATAAAAATAATTAGACCGGCCAAAGTGGAACCCCACTGTCTCCACCAAAGTTCAACGTAAAGGAAAAAAAAAAAAAAAGAGAGAGAGCTAAAGCGTTAGATAAAAATCTCATTATTTTGTCGATCGTGCTCAATAATCATTACCTTTCATCTTCGTCGTCGTCTTCTTCTTCTTCTTCGCCGCCTTGATCTTTACGATTTCCCTTTCCCTTTCAGCTCCAGTTTCAACCTGCATTTCTCTATCCTCAATTTTGCGTTGATCAGATCGACGGAGAGGTAAAGAATTCGCATTTTGTTAATTCTTCGCGATTTCATTCTGTTAAAATTGGCTTTTTGTAATTCCTTTTAGAAGAAAAGCCGATTTTTTTTTTTTTTTTCTGATTGAGTCACTAAATCATCTGATGGAAATTCTTATTAATCCAATCCACCATATCGATTTGTTTGAATATCTTGAATTGATGCGAATAGTCTAGCACCATCAATGTGCAAAAATCAAGAATGTGTGATCGGATTTTTCTTAAACCTCTTTAAAGTACTGGTTTTGAAATGTTATAGGGTTTGTGGGGGAGTGAGGAAGACGAAGAGATTTTTCTTAAACCTCTTTAATGTGTGATCTTTCGACGTGAAGGACAATAGTGAAGAAGCCAAAGCAAAAATGATGTCGTTTACAGGAACTCAACAGAAATGCAGGGCGTGCGAGAAGACAGTGTACCCTATGGAGCTTCTCTCAGCTGATGGAGTCCCTTTTCACAAGTCTTGCTTCAAGTGCTCTCACTGCAAAAGCAGGCTTCAAGTGAGTTCGGCTCTTTTGCTTTTCCCCTTCATCTCTCTATGAATGAAGGTTTGATCATTTCTTGGATTATCGACACTATCTACATTGATGTTCTTATTCTGTATTCAAGATTCAAGCTTAACCAGTAGAGCTTGAATGGCCAAATTTCCCATAAGCAATTCCTATTTGTGTGAAAAGTTTAGGGCAATTTCTAGATAGCGAGAGAATGTTATGGGTTTTTCTTAACCTCTTTTGCTTTCCCTCATCACTCTGTTTCATCAATTCCTGGATATCGACATTCTGAGTTTGAAGATCCACCAAGGAAGCTTGAATGATTAATTTCCAAAAGCAATTCCTGAGTATAGTTATTAGTTCTGTGATTCATGAAGAGTTTTTTCTAGATAGAAAGACTTTTATCTAAACTGGTCTGCTTTATATGTTCAAGTAAAAAATATGTTGATGGTTTTTTTTTCCTGGTTCTTACAGCTGAGTAATTATTCATCAATGGAAGGTGTGTTGTACTGTAAGCCTCATTTTGAGCAGCTCTTCAAGGAGACTGGTAGTTTCAACAAGAACTTTCAGTCACGTATGTAACTCTTGTTTCTTCATCTTTTTGTTAACTTTGGATTCAGCTCTACTTGTGTTTAATTTTATCTTCAACTTTCTTTCTTTTCAAAGCTGCAAAGCCATTAACTGACAAGCCAACCCCTGAGCTGGTAATCATTTCTTAACAAACGCTCCATGTTCTGATTTAGTTACATGACTTGAAAAGCATGACTCTATTCTCTTCTTGGTTGTTCTCAGACAAGGACACCTAGCCGAGTTGCTGGAATGTTCTCTGGAACTCAAGACAAATGTGCTACTTGCAGTAAAACCGTGTATCCTATCGAAAAGGTTAATATATACATTTGAACACTTTCACTCTGTGATGTTTCTTTGTCGGGAAAATCACAGTAAGTTCTTATGTCTTCTTCTTCTGTTTTCTAATAATCATGTAGGTAACTGTGGAGAGCCAGTGTTACCATAAATCTTGCTTCAAGTGTTCACATGGAGGATGCCCGATTTCTCCATCGAACTATGCAGCTCTCGAGGGGATTTTGTACTGCAAACACCATTTCGCTCAGCTTTTCAAGGAGAAAGGAAGTTACAATCACCTCATCAAATCTGCTTCCATCAAACGCTCTGCTGCTGCTGCTACAGCTGCAGCTGCTGTAGCTGCTGTAGAAGCCATTTCCGAATCTTGAATTCGCCCATTTTTAAGTTAAAAAAAATATAAAAAGTTTCTACCAACCAGGTTTCAGTTTGTGTCTGTCTTTGGTGTGTGTAATGTTTTGTTTTTACCTGTATTCACTTCTTCATGCTCTTCTTGTGTTCCATAATGAACCAGACATAAGATTCTCGTAGGTCTCTCTTGAGTTTGTTCTTGTTATGATTATAACTCTCGGTTCCAGTTCTGGTCTTAGTCTTTGAGCGGACCGGCCTGTTGGACCGGATGAATCGCTGTCTTTCATGGCCGGTCAGGTTTTTCATTGAAACTACAAAGTACAAAGCAGCTTTAGCTTTGTAAAACAGATTGATATCGAGCTAAGAAAGCTACAAAAACCCCAGATTGAATTGTACCCGAACACACTTTCATTGAAACTACACAGTATAAAGGCTAAAGATAAGAACTTTGCAACAACAAAACACTTTTCTTCCGGAAGTATTTCCCTAAAACTTCTATCAGGGGCAAAAGGTGCTGTTATCATCCAAAACGCATGAACTGTTGCCGTTTTTGATGTTCTCGTCTTAGATTGAGGGAAGCTTTAAGTGAAACTCTGTTTCAGTCACGAGCCCAAGTTTGGTTTTCAAAATGTCGAACACAACCTCTGACCTCCGAAGCCGTCTTCTCCGGTGCGTGCCTTAGTTATCTCTGTATCTCTCTCTGCTTTTCGAACCCTTTAGTGGAAGAACCCTAATTTATTTTGTTTTGTTTGAGGATTCAGATTATCTGAACCAATAGCAGCGATTCTCAGATGCACACAGTACACACCTCAAGAGAGCAGCAAAGTTTCAACTAAAGATATACTCTTGTCCCTGTTACCAAACAGTTCGTCTCCTCGCTTAATCAATGAGGAAGACAGTCACGCGTCGATCAAGAATCTCGCGCTTGCTTGTGCCCTTCTCTCTTCTTCTCGATCCTCCACTCACGAACTCCTCTCATGGATCCCCGAAAACCTCTCAGTCGCAGGGGAATCGGCATTTTGCGAGATTTCTCGGGAGCATTTCAGTGACTTTCCCGAGAATAACGATGAGAAGCTCGAGGAATCAGTGGTGGATAGTGGGAAGACGAGATTGGTGATCGAATTGTTGCCGATTGTGTTACCGGATTTGAAAGGTAGAATCGAAGAGAGCTCAACTGCTAAGAACAGTGATGCAGAGGATGTTTCAGCTGCAATGGCGAGAAAACCAGTTGGTTATGCGATCTTGGCGGCTCACCAGCTCAGGTGGTTTGTGACTCAGGTCTGAATTATAATTTAGGAATAAATCTGCTCTGTTGTGTAAAAAATCTAACCTTTTAGAGATTTGTATAATTTGGAGGTGTTTGATGTCTTTTGTTCTTGGTAGGTTGAGAAACCGAATTTGGCGAAATTTTGCAACTTGGTGATTCCTTGTGCTTTGACAGCACTTGATCATTGGTCTCCTCAAGTCAAAGTAAGTCCCTTTTGAAAATTGGTTTCTGTCTTATTAGTTATAACATGATGCAAGCTTTTTCTACTTGTAGCTTAAGGCTGTAGTGAGATTGATGTTCTCTCTTTGCTTGATAATAGGGGCAGGGTATGATAAGCCTTATACATCTCGCTAGAAATGTGAGTTCAGGTGATCTCAGTTTGTATGGAGAAGTGGTTCTTGATGCGTGCTGCCAGAACATAGTTTCGGATGATGAGATTTGGATACATGTGGTAGAGTTATCTGTGCTTCTTGTGACTAAAATCCACCAAAATAATCCCCGTAGCCCGTGGTAATTGATTCCTTCTCTTACAGTTGCATATGTTCAGAAGATGAAGAATTAAGAAAAAAGTTTTTTTTCAAACCATTGCTCATTTTGAATATTTTTTTTTTTCGTTCCTTAAGGTACGAAAGGATCATGAATGAGATGCTTGGCCATCTGGAACGCCAACCAAGAAATAAAGAGCGACGTATCGCTTGGCTAAGATTCATTGAACCACTTTTTGACGCTCTTGGGCTATTCTTACTTGCTCATTTTCGACGAATCTTCCCTCTTTTCTTTCAGTGGATGCATTCAGATGACGCCGAAACCGTTTTGTTGGTATAGTCACTCTCATTTTGTAGGAATGTTAGATTTTCCTTCTCATTCTGATATTCTATAAGATTAAACATGGAATTTATACTACCTGCAATAACCGTATAGGTTCTTGAGAGACTGGAGACGGTCGTAAAGTTGACGTGGATTAGAAACTCACCCGTGATCCCAAGGTTTATGCCGCTAAACACTAATGACTTAGAAGTGGTTCAAGATAAACTCTTTTATCTTAAATCCAGTCTTTAACATCATAGTCATTTTCTTGATTTTGGACCCCTTCAGATTGGTGGAGGAGCTTGTTACCTTGTACAAACAGTCATCGATGCGTAAAGAGCGCGATGAAATCAGACATCTTATCCTCCGTATCTTGACGCTACTCCGCAAGTATGTTTCTATGCTTATCAGACACACTGCCAAGATAGTTCAAATCTGTCCCTTTTTTTAAGCTCTCTATCTCTCTCTTTAACAGGTGCAAAAGCCTGCAATTTGAGTCAGCGTGGAGCAAGTATCAGGAGGATCCAAATCTGAGCACGGTTGGCGAATTTATATGGACTAGCTCTAGCTGACCCGAGAGAGAGAGCCTCTCTTCCGCTCAAGAGTTTTTAGGGGTCGTGACTAAAAGAGCAACATAGAGCTTCTTCACTCTTTTTAAACTTTATCTAGATGTTGCATGTAGAATGGTATATCACAAATGGTACATGTAATGTGATCAATTTTACAATGTGTCTACCTTATCTTTGAGTGGTATAGAACTATATCACAGGAACTCTTGAAAACATATACACATTTTGAAGTTGAAAAGTAGAGTCGCTGCACATCAAAAACTCTGCGAACTCATCTTTCGCTGTAATCCAGAATATCATTATAGGTAAGACTTGGAAGCTTGAACAGACGCTTGCTTTCCCAATTCCACTGGCCTCTTAACACATCCATATGATTACCAATGACTCCAATCACGCGGTATCCTCTTTCTAACTCTTCCTTCTGTCTTGTATCTTCCCTGCATATAAGAGAATATATATAAGTTCTATATAATCTCTGGTTTGTTGCTACTTTGATGTGAATGAAATTAGTAGTTGACGTCTGTTGCAAACCTCATGACCAAATGGGACCAATCTCTGTATCCTCTAGATTTTAACTGCTCAGCCGTGGAATTTCTCTCTCTTTCGGGTCTTCTTGAAAACAGAATCACTGAATAGCCTTGTGATCTTAGCTTATAATATAGTCCAAGTGTTAGTTTGCTTCTCTGGTGCTTTGCTTCTTCAATGTAACTCTCTTGTTCTAATCTACATATAGAGAAGAAGAAGTAAAATTAACAAATACTTACTGAAAAAGAAACACTGAGAGTTGAAAACTTACAGATTGATTTCATCGATATCGATTACAACAACATCGCGGTTATCTTTCACCGGTTTAATGGTTTGGAAATAGTTGAGAGCCATTTGGATAGTGAAGTTTAAGTCTCTCAAGTAGATTCCTTGTTTGATTCTGCGTAAAGCAACATCTCTGCATAACAATGGTAACTCGATACTAGTAGTGTCTTCTTCTTCTTCTTCCAATCTATTGAGCTGCGAGTGTAAAGACAAGATTTTGCAGTAACTGAAACTCTCGTCATCAAGTCTTTGAACCTCGACGACTCCAGAATTCTGGTTTTCACAGCTCTGTAACATGGTTGATATAGCTACAAGAAGTGTAAGCATCAGAACTCCGAATGTTACAAGAGAAGCAATAAAGATGGTAGCTGCTAAAGATGTCATGTAACATCCAGATTCTATCGAAAAGCGACTCCCCATCTCTGTAAAAACAACAACAAAAGACAAGAAGACGATTATTGCAAGAACTAGTTTTTAACTCGAGAACCAGATGTTTGGAAGATTATATGAATATATATATATACCGGAATTGCCTCGGCTGGAGAGACCTGAAAATTCCCTCTCCATCTGATGCGCATAAGCCGACATTTTCTTAAACTTATTTTAGCAAAAGCTGTGATGATCATAAAACATCATTGATAATTTGATACTTTCAGAACAAAAAACAAAATATTGCAGATTTCATGAATTTGTTTTTTCTTTGTTTTGACACTTTTATTTACCTTGTAGAGAAGCTCCACAGCCAAAACGAATCTTTGTTCGATCAAGATCTGAAAAGAAACTTGGTTTAAAAAAAAAAAAAAAGAGCTGAAAAGAAAATCTGCCCCTTCGTCACAAGAAAACAGAGAGACATACACACGTGACTGTTGTGTGATCTGATCAACTTGATCTTCTCAGTTTATCTTGTATAACCCGATCAACTTAACCTCGTCTTCTGTTCTTTTTCAAATTTAATTTTTTCTTTTTCATTTTCCAAATTTCGTGGAGACATGAAAATAAAATGAATCTAAAATTTAAATGTGTATATCGCGCCATTCTTTATAGAATTAAACATGGATAAGCTGAATTATCAGCTGACAGATCAATCCTTTTCTCGATTATTCATATGCCTTTTTGGTCTAATCCAATAATTAAGACTATAAGAAAAAATATATAAACGCACCACCTTTGATTAAAATAATACATAAAAACTGATCCAATTATTCAGATCCACCAATTTTCTTTTTGAATCCGGAATAAACCACCTAAAAAACTTTTTTTTTTAACCTACAAACGACGGCTATATCCAACACATTAGAAAACTTGGTACGTAAACTACTGGACGTCTATATTCATCTTAATAGATTAGTTGGATGTTAAAAATTGAAATCACCTCCTAACTAATTAAACAGAAATATATATAGATTCTCAATTACATGAAAGACAGTTGATGATTCTATATAGTCTTCATTCATAATTCATTATTCTTTTTCATTTTATTATTTATGTCTTTTAATTTTTGTTTCAGAATATATAGCATAGTATCTCTATCGAAGTATCTCGTTGGGACCATATACGAATGTATTTGACTCTTATGCGTATACGACGACAATTTTTTAAACGTACGTTAACGATTTATTATCCCTAGCTATTTTTGTATTATTGAAGAATTTGGAAACGGGTCCCGGCGTTAGCAGTATGTATGGCCACTCCTTATATGGAAAACTCGTCTCTTTACTTTGATACATATATATATTTTTTCTTTTTCCAATCTCGTGGAGGAAATGATTTGAAAGAGTTAGTAACACAACTTGATGATAATAATCTTTGGTAAAAAAATTGATAATAATCTTCTATCCATACAAACCAATATGGCTTTAGTGTTTGGTAGTATGATGAGTTTTGTCTTTTATAATTAATTTAGCTAGATATGTGTATATGTATGTGTTTGTCACGTATGCTTACAGCTTATACGACAACAATGCAAATGTACGTTTCCAAATAATTATCATTCATCTTTTCTTAGATTTTTTTTTTTATTGTTTTTGTAGATTTATTATGGTCCCCAACTTTTCAGCTTAAAATATCTTACGACTAGGAAAGTTTGTTTTGTTGGATAATATTGGAGTTGAAGATATAGGATATGTATATGGAAATGGAGTCTCCTGATTCTATGAAATAACCTATAACGGTAGATGAAGAAATTATGTAATATTGTGACAACTCTTAATGTAGAAACACTAATTAATCTTTCTTTATTTTTGTTATAGGGTTTCGTAGAAACACTAATTACTTGGTTAATGATAGAGTTGTGTCACTTAAAGCATCTCCAATGGTGCTCTATATCTTGCTCTAAACTCTATTTTTAGAGTAAAATAAACTGCAATAGTACCATATATGTTGCTCTATAAATATAGAGTAACATTGTTCATGACTCTATTTTTAGAATAGAACTTTTTTATTTACAAAACAATCCTCTAGTTTTAATATCTTTTCATCTTATACCTAAACAATAATATAAATAACAATATTACACTGAATTCAATTTATACTACTAATAATTTATTATAAAATTATTTTAACTTAAATTTTAATAACAATATATATTTTAAAATTTTAAAATTACGTTAACTCAAAATAAAATAGAAAGAACATTTTTAAATTTTCAAAAGTATAAAGTCTTATCATCAATTAATACTAAAGAATAAAATATAATATTTATTTTTAGAATCAGATATAAAGATAACTATTGGAGTAAATCCTTTTTTTATTTTTAAAGAACTCTATATTTAGAGCCAAAAATAAAGCCAACCATTGGAGATGCTCTTATAACATCACGTGCATGCAGTGCTCCATATGTTTTGAAAACAAATTAACAATTTTCACCTATTTTTCATTTTTGCTTCAATTATATTTAATGGTACCACCACACTAATATCATCCAACGTATATACTAATATTTTATATTGGTATCAGAATTCATTTAGATGATGTATAAATAAATCCAATTATATGCATGGAGGCCCGGCCCGGCCCGGCCCGAAGCCCATTTTATAGCCACCTGTAACAAGTTAGCTTTTCTATTTTTCTTTTCTTTTCTTTTCTTTCATAGAATTCTGAGAAGAAAAAAAAATGAAAAAGTAGATATCAAATGATCACTCTTTGAGTGTCAACACTTCGTCGTCTCTCTTTCATTGCTCGAAGAGAGCATCCATGGATGCAATCAAATGCAGCTCCAGTTTACTCCATCGCAACAAGCTAAGCATTCTCTTCTCTAACCACAACTTCCCTAAAATCCGCGCGCCCAATTTCAAGCGCCTCTCCCGGCCAGCTGCTCAGCCACTGTTGCTTTCCGCCAAGGACAGAAGAAGCGTCGAAGCTGAAAATGTCGCCGTAGCGGAGAAACCTCCTAAATCAGAGAGATTTCTTATCTCCGATGGACTTCCTTCCCCATTCGGCGCCACCGTAAGAAACGACGGCGTCAATTTCTCTGTTTACTCTGCAAACTCCGTCTCCGCCACTATCTGCTTGATTTCTCTCTCCGATCTCCGTCAGGTTAGCTTTTATCGCGAGTGTTTTACAATTCGATTCAACCGACATTTTTGTTGAAAGCCCTTTCTTGTTTGGGTTTGATTTCACACGTTGCAGAACAAAGTGACGGAGGAGATTGAGCTCGATCCGTCAACGAATAGAACCGGCCATATCTGGCATGTGTTCTTGGAAGGGAATTTCAAAGATATGTTGTATGGTTACAGATTTGACGGGAAGTTTTCTCCTGAAGAAGGTCACTACTATGACTCGTCCAATATTTTATTGGATCCTTACGCAAAGGTAGCTGTAAACTGAAGTTATTTCTAAGTAAATACATAGAGAAGTATGAGATAATCGCTTGGCTTGGTTTTCTCTTTTTCTTTTTTTCTAATTCTACTTGCTATAATTGGTTTCCCGTTTGGTTTGGTAGGCAATTATAAGCAGAGATGAGTTTGGAGTTTTGGGAGCTGATGAAAATTGTTGGCCTCAAATGGCGTGTATGGTGCCCACTCTTGATGAAGAGGTACCATTGTATTTATTTGAATGACATAATGATATTCATGGTGATCTACTCATTGGATATTGTTTCGAAGGAACAAAATTATTATTAGTAAATTTGATACAAGTTATTCTTTCTTTACATGAGTTACTTGTTTAGTAAAATCTAGCATGTGATGGTATTGGTCTTTGCTGCTATACAGTTTGATTGGGAGGGGGATATGCATCTGAAGCTTTCACAGAAGGATCTTGTCATATATGAAACGCATGTGCGAGGTTTCACAAGGCATGAATCTAGCAAAATTGAATTCCCTGGCACATACCAGGGTGTTGCAGAGAAGCTTGACCATTTGCAGGTACTGACTATCAAATATGTACTGCTGAAACAAAGTTTCACATGATTAATTTACACGAAGTCATCAAGATTTTACAAAGAAAATAATTAATCAAATAGCAATTATGGCTGCCAACTTTAAATTGTTTAAATACTGACAGGAGCTTGGGATAAATTGCATAGAACTAATGCCATGCCACGAGTTTAATGAGCTGGAGTATTACAGCTACAATACAATATTGGGAGACCATAGGTATGCCATTTGACCAGATGCCTTTGATTAGTGACAATACTTCCGACTGATAGATTTGCTCTGTCAGTTTTTTATCGACTGCCTTCTGGGATGAGCAAACTATATAGTAGAACCACTTGTGGTTGAAATCTGTGGGTGCTAGAATAAATCAATTAATCTCAAGAAATTCTTGAACTAGGATTGTTGTTGTCTCAAGAAACGTCCGATTAGTGAAGGGTGAAACAGCTTAACATACATCTGGAATACATAGATTGAGCTTGCTCACTTACATGAAACCTACCATCTTTAACCTTCACTAAATAACCCAGTTAATTGGTTAATTGTTGCATATAGCATGTCTAATCAGGTTGTCTTGCGTGTTCAGGGTAAATTTTTGGGGTTACTCTACCATTGGGTTCTTTTCGCCCATGATCAGATACTCATCGGGAAGCTCTCACAACTTTGCCGGAAGAGCCATAAATGAGTTCAAAATTCTTGTTAAAGAGGCACATAAGCGAGGAATTGAGGTGACAACTATTTTCCAGGTCGCTAAATATATGTTGTTAGGTTTACAGATGCAGTTCTTGATAGATTTTAAGCAGGTTATCATGGATGTCGTTTTGAACCACACAGCTGAAGGCAATGAAAAAGGACCCATTTTCTCATTTAGAGGAGTTGATAACAGTGTCTATTACATGCTTGCTCCAAAGGTAATGCTCACCAAGCAGTCATGTGTATCTTTTTAATAGTTTCACTGCACTAGGTTGAAAAAAGTAGAGCACATTCCACCCAATATTGATACTGGAATTAATACCCATAATGCTTTGGTTTTCTAGTTTGTAGTCTCATACTGATGATTACGATATGATTCTTTAGTAAAGAATCTAAAGTTTATGCATATGCTGTGGTTTGACAGGGCGAGTTCTATAATTATTCAGGCTGTGGTAATACATTTAACTGCAATCATCCTGTGGTGCGTCAATTCATAGTGGATTGCCTTAGGTATTTCCCAAAATAGTGTAAACGTATTGCTTGGCTGTTTTTAAATTAACAGTGATTTCCAAAAATTAATTCGTCCTAAGCCTGCGGATATCTCTCTCTTGAAAACAGATATTGGGTAACAGAAATGCATGTCGACGGCTTCCGCTTTGATCTTGGTTCAATCATGTCAAGGAGCAGCAGGTGCAAATGTTCTAGAGTACGTCAAATGAGTGTTTCTTTCGTTTGTGTGTTTCTGGAATATTTATTGTTCTATTTTTGTTAGCCTTTGGGATGCAGCCAATGTTTATGGGGCTGATGTAGAAGGTGACTTGCTGACAACTGGTACCCCAGTTAGTTGCCCTCCAGTGATTGACATGATAAGTAATGATCCAATACTTCGTGGTGTTAAGGTGATCAACTAGTTCCTTAATATTTCCTCTGTAGGTTACTTCGATTTTCATTGTTTAGAGCATATCATATTTATTTTGGCCTTGTTTGCGTGCAATTTTTAGTTAAAGCATTATTGTCTGTTTATTTGTTATGTTTCTTCTTTGCGAGCAGCTAATAGCTGAAGCATGGGATGCGGGTGGGCTATACCAAGTTGGCATGTTTCCGCACTGGGGCATTTGGTCTGAGTGGAATGGAAAGGTCTTGATAATTCTCGTGGCAGTTTCCATTTCGTATGTGCATGATATCTATCGTTGTTGTGAATAGAATATTGAACAGTGGCAGTCTTGTCCATTTCAGTTCCGAGATGTTGTGAGACACTTCATAAAAGGCACCGATGGCTTTTCCGGTGCTTTTGCTGAATGTCTCTGTGGAAGCCCAAATTTGTATCAGGTAAATGTTAAGTTCTATTATTCTGAGGTATCTGCACACACCCTATATCTAAGTAGGGCAGGCTTTACAATTGGTGTGCTTCTAAGGCTGAAAATTAGGGTATTGTGGAATGCTCTTATTTATGAATATATTTTGGCTGGCTTTCAGCGATTCAAAGGTTTGCCTTTCTTTTTTGTAACCAGGTAGGTAGTTGTTGTGGTTCTGTTGAAAACGGTTGTAAATTATTGATTGATCTTTCTCAGGAGGGCAGTCTCACTGATCCCACGAAACTGTTATTGTCTTCAATCTATGCCTTTCATGCTGCTTTCGTTTTTCCTTTTACACTGCCCAGATTACTTGTGTCTCAAGATAAGAGTGTCAGATACTATATACTTTTGTTGTATAATATCCGATTGTGTTTGTGTATCAGGGAGGTAGGAAACCTTGGAACAGCATCAATTTTGTATGTGCGCATGATGGTTTTACTTTGGCAGATTTAGTAACTTACAACAATAAAAATAACTTGGCAAACGGAGAAGAGAATAATGATGGAGAGAATCACAATTGCAGCTGGAACTGTGGAGAGGTGAGATACTAATTTATTTGCAATTGTGTGGAACTTGCTTTCTGCTCTTTTTTCACAAATGTTTTTAGTATAATGGCTAAAATATTCGTTAGAAGTAATACTAGAGATAATTGCTCTTGAATAGCTCTCAGCTTCTTTAAAAAGACTATAGAGTGGATCGAAGTTGGTAGTTTTGGTGCAAAAATATGTAATTCAGTCTCAGAAGACATTTTGTAGAATATTTAAAAGCTGAATTGAAATGGCTATTAGACTTTCACCTAAACTATTATGGTTTTCTTTAATTGGTATTGGGCTGCAGGAGGGAGACTTTGTGAGTCTCTCGGTGAAGAAATTAAGGAAACGACAGATGCGAAATTTCTTTGTTTCCCTCATGGTTGCCCAGGTAAAACTAACCATTTGTTAAGCTGATTGCTTAAGCTCTTTTGACTAAAAAAAATTATTTCCTTTCCATTTCTGAAATTGCAACATTTGATGCAACCTCGTTTTTATCTGATCTGTTTATCACCAGGGTGTCCCGATGATCTACATGGGAGATGAATATGGCCATACAAAAGGGGGAAACAACAACACTTATTGCCATGACAACTATGTAAAGGGTTTTTTTTTTTTCTTTGATGTCAATCTTAGCTTTTAAATAATATTGACACAATTAGAATGCAGCTGAACTATTTCCGGTGGGATAAAAAGGAAGAAGCACATTCTGACTACTTCAGATTCTGCCGTCTTCTGATCAAGTTTCGCGAGTATGTAATCTTCATTTATGAGAATTAATCGATTCGATGATCGCTTCATATGGTTTTTAAATCCGATAATTGACATGCTTACAATCCTCTGTATCTCCCTCCTTTTGGGTTTTCTTTGATTGATGGGGACTATGATTGTCTTGTAGTGAATGTGAATCACTTGGCCTGAGCGATTTTCCAACAGCAAAGCGTCTGCAATGGCATGGTCTTGCTCCTGGGATGCCAGATTGGTCTGAAACAAGTCGATTTGTTGCATTTTCACTGGTACCATTTTCTCATTCTCTGCTTCTCCTTGTTGCTAAAGCCATTGTCTCTTGTTTGACAGCTCTTGGTGGATTTTAACCATTTTTTTTTTTTCTTTTCTTTTTGCAGGTGGATTCAGTGAAGAGAGAAATCTACGTGGCCTTCAACGCAAGTCATTTAGCCACACTTGTCTCACTGCCTGACCGGCCAGGATACCGATGGGAGCCATTTGTAGACACGAGCAAACCGAGCCCTTTCGACTGCATAACACCGGATCTCCCAGAGAGAGATACTGCGATGAAGCAATACAGGCACTTCTTAGATGCTAATATGTACCCTATGCTCAGCTACTCTTCCATCATTCTTCTTCTCTCACCAGTTGACGATAGCTGACTCTGCTTGATTCCTCAAAAGTATTGTATATAAACTATATATACCATTTTCTGTATATTAGAGAAATCACAAAACATGTGGAAATTTCTGAAGGCTAGTGTCTATCTTCTTATAAATTGTAATGCAAACGAGATGCATTTTGCATTATGCACATACGACAATTATTTGTAATATAAAGGTCCATGTCTGGTTAGAAGAATCTGAATGGGGCTTCGGTCGCCATGTGTATCAGGTATGCCCACTCATTGACAATAGATTCCTTTATTTTTTTGTCGGCAACAATAGATTCCAGCGTTATCGGTTGGTTATTTAGTTAAAGCTTGTTCAAAAAGTACGAATTTTGAGGCTCCATTATATATGCTACTGTCGGCCAAAAAAGAAATTTTCACACTCTAGTATACTTTAATCTTTACAACAACGAATCGATTTAGTAGGGTCAAATTCCATGTCAATCACATCAAATATATCATCTCTCAAAAGTCAGAACCATTGACGATATATCTCTCAAAATCTTCGATGGTTTTTTATTCAAAAAAAAAAAGAAACGAGTAGAGAGTACCCCCCGTGGAAAAAAAAATAGTGATATGCCCTTACAAACAAGATATTATGTAAATCTCTCAAAACCATTGACGACGATACAACAGAAAAAAAAAAAAAAAAAAAAAAGAATTCATTACACAGTTCATTGAAACCCCAAAAATCTTGAGACTAAAAAAGATAAACCAAACCTTTATATACAAACCTCTGATTGGATCATCATCATGTCTCCCTGAGGACTCTAACAGTTGGTGGACAATCTGTTCTCTGACCAGCCAGTGAGTAATAGGCAAGTATATGAGCCGGATGCTCCATCTCTCTTACCTCTCCAAGCTGATTCACTTCCGGGACTCTTCTAGACGGAATCAGCTCTATGTTCCAGTACGGTCGTGCCATCAGCCTCAGATCTTGTCCCGTCATCGATGCTCTGTAACCTTGTACCCAGAGGTATCTCAAAGAAGGCATTTTTATAACCGCTGCAGCGATTGCTCGCTCGCTGAAGCAACAACCTCTCATCTCTAGCTTCTGTAGATTCGGACAACCTCTTGAGAATTCCATTAGACCCTCGTCTGATTCACCTACGTAACCCAGGAGCATCCATCTCACGTTTGGACTGTACTGTCCGATATAGCTTAAGCCCACGTCCGTTAAGCCGCCTTGTCTGAGATAGAATGCAAACCGTCTCAGTTTCTTGCACCCCATCAAGAGGGATCGGACTCCGTTGTCCAGAGGCAAATCTGTGATTCTCTCTTCCCGGTCGAGTAACACAAGGCGGAAGTCACAGAGGTTTTTCAGATATGTGCCTATGCTTTCAAGAGATTCGTTAGTTATGTCTGAGACGTACACCGCCATGTATTCTAGCTCCTGGCATCCCTGAGCCAGAGCGATTAGTCCTCTTTGTGAGACTAAGCCTTCTTCGTCCTCCATACCTTGCTCATCTGCACCCCTTTCAATCCTCAGCCGCTTCAAATGCTTACAGTATTGTGCAAGAACCTCCAGACCCCTATCCCCGATTACATTCCTTGTCTGAAATACAGGCAAAAAAAAAAAGAGAAAAAGTGAATTACTCGCTTAGAAATCTTTCGTGAACAAATAAGGTAAGTATTCAATACGAGCATTATTTACCACTAAAGAAGCAGCACCAGATAAGGAAAGACAGCAATATAATAATTTACCTCGAGAACTTCCAAATTAGGACACTTTTGAATTAGTGTACAATGATCCTCGGTTTCGAGCAATGCATAAAGCAAATCCAGCTTCCGGATTTGGGCCGCGAATGGAAATAGTATTGGCATTTCATTAGGTCCCATGTAAGAGAGGCCCAGACGACATAGCTTTGGTGGGAAAGTCAGATTCATGTATTTCTCAGGTCTTCCAAGGTCCTCATTCAAGGAGCCACCACAAAATTCTTCAAGATTACTTGCGGCCTTAAAGAATCCAACTAGCTCCAAAATCTCAAAGTCACCGACCTTCACAGAAACCAAGCGGCCACAATTTCTAGCTATTGTTTCCAAGTCTTTGGGGCTGATTTTGGCAAACTCAGTCATGTAGAAGTTTAAAACCTCAAGAGACGTGTTGTGCAGAGCAAGCTCATGAAGCCATTTACCATCCTTTTCAAGGAATGAACTTTCTTCCATTAACAATGTTTTTATTTTCCTGTAGAAAAGACAGCAGCAAGAAGCATGAATAAAGTGAGAAACAGCACAAAGATATTGGATTTTCAACTTAAATTGCATATGCATAATAGCAGCAGCCGAATCAAGGATGCAAGAGCGACATAATAAACAAGAACTCCCAGAGACTTCAGATTTCAGAAATCAATCTTTTTGCCATATTTATGCATAAACAGAAGTGTAAACTGTAGCGGGAAACCAAATATAATAAGCTTCACCAAAAAGGAAAATATAGGAATTTCTGCTTAAATTGCAGGCACAACAGCACCAAAGAGATTAGAGATTTCAAGAAAGGTATGATGGATATAAAATCCTCAAAACTGGACTGTAAGAAATGAATATGTCTGCTTTATGCATATGTAATCACAAGTGTAACGTATAGTAAGAGAACCAAATATAGTAAGATTCAACAATATATCACCAAAAGAAAAAGTACTCCACAAAGTTTCTACTTACCCAATTGAGCTAAAGATACATCAGATCTTCAAAGAAACAATCTTAATATTTATAAAGTAAACAAACGAAAAGACCCAAAATGCAACCTTGATCTAGTCAAAGTAGGTAATGGACAACTGGTCGTCAAGTAGAGAAGAAGAAGAGAAGTCACAAAAGTAAGTGATAAACCAAAGAAAATCAATACCTGCAATGCTTAACGATGCTCAAGAGTCCATCAGTGGAGAAACCAGAGCATTTATCGAGCTTTAAAGCCTCGAGTTCATCTAACCTCGCCCTAGCCAAAACATCCAGATCCAAGTCGCTGACAATCATTCGCCGGAAGTGCACAGATTTGAGCTGACGCAGCGACACAGCTATCTCGTGAACCCAAGGGGTTACAAATCCTCCCCAGTTCTCAGGGATCAGATTGAACATAGCGGCTCGAGGCTTCCCTTTGAGCTTGAGAGACCTCAGGTTCGGAAACCGACGGCTCAGACGATCAGGAGTCGATGTGTAGCACAGGGCCATGGTGACGTGCTCCCTCGTCTCCGAGTCTATCTTGAACCATCTCCGGCACACCAGAGAAGCGGAATCTCGGTCTTTCGAGTCCTTTATGTACGGCATCACTTGCTCGATGACGTCATCCACGGTCACGGCGCTCAATTTACACTTCTTAATATCGGGATCCTCCATCGTCGAACAAACGCTAAGATCGAGAACCAAAAAAACTAAAATCCTGAAGATTCGATTGTCCCGTCAAATCTCGGAGAGGCCAAGCTTGGAGCAAACAAAACTGTTGAAATCAAGGACGAATCTCAGCAGAAACCTGGCAAATCCAAAGTAACACAGAAGACAGTGAAAGAGAAGAGACGAAGAAGGCAGAGATCCGATAAGGAGGAGGGTGAATCGGAGGAAGAGTAGAAGGAGATCCTGAGAACAGACGAGGAAGATGGATGAGAGTGAGGAGATGAAGACAAGCGTAGGAAGAAGAAGAAGAGTCAGGATTGGGAGGAAGAAAGTGGGAGAGGAATCAAATATCGTCTGGTTATTATTTTTGTTTGGATCAAGTGGGAGAGAAAGAAAGAGAGATAGAGAGAGAGAATAATTAATTTTGATGTTTAGACGGTCGAGATGCGATCGTCTCAAATGTTGTTTAATGTTTTTTTTGCAATAACCAGATCTCGCTAAACGACAGTATTAGTAGTAATAACCACTAACCAGGTGTTAGTTTATCCATTGACAATTAGTACAAGGTAATAAGCTGCTTAAGTATGGACCTGAACATTAAAAAAAAAAAAAAAAAAACATGGTTAACAAAATTATATGAATTATAGGCTACTGCATAATGATATTCACGTAAGATCAGAGAAATATTATGTGGAAAGTGTTTTAAATAGCAAACAATAGCTGATATCATCAAAATAACCTATATACAGTTTGTGCGAATCAATGGATTGATCATACCTATTTTTTTTTCCTTTGACCTTTCTAAAAATTTCTCGTCAGGCACTTTACTTAAATAGGATTTTATCACTAACCCAGTGGTTAGGAACTAGAGCTAAAGTTACAGAGCTACAACTAGAGAATGAATTTCTTTTTTAAGGATACAAAAAAGTTATACTCTCTACGGAGCAACATGTACTTTTTTGAAGCTTTAAAATTGCAAACATTGCTATTAATATCATATCAGATTTAAGATATCATAAACGATAACACGAATTTGGATTAGATATTCTCATTTTCCATTTCTTTGATAAAGGCATAGGAATATAGGATATCTCTCAAGAGTTTCTCTCGGTGTCAGATTACAAATACTATTAAAAAAATGTGTAAGAAATACTACTCCTTTTTTCCACAATTTTCTTTGTACGAGTAGCATTTTATAAATTTTTGATTTCAGAAAAAATAACACTATATTATTATATACGACTGTTTTGTCTTCAACTTGGCAGACGTACACATGTGCAATCGTTATACTTGTCATAAACGTATAATTCTTAATAATTATACTCATCTATATATGTACCCCTCCATCATTTTTTCCCAAAAACATATTACCTCTTTGTAAGTTTCAAAAAATGTTAATGTGCGAAACACTTTTTTTATTATTATTGTCATATCTCTTATCCTTTTTTTTCTAAGCATATAACGTGTAAAAATTCTTTTTGACTGAAAAAAATCTTATGTTGAATTAGATTTATGTGCTAGTAGTTCAGAATTTATAACTACATTTTAATTTCAAAATATATTCCCAAAAGAAAAATATATTCACAAGCTGTTTCCATTTACTTAACATCGGCACGGCCCTGTTTCTATACACTTTTTTAAATTCCATTTCGGAAACACGTACGAAAAAAAAAAAACTAACCAGAAGTCTCTCTTGGAGGCAGAGGCACTGCTTCGCCTGAACTCACACTCTCGCTACCACCATCTCCTCCATCACCTGCACTCGGCTGTTGTAGCCCGATAGGAGCAAACAAGCTCACACCACTCACGTCCCGAGTCCCACTGTATAGACCTCTGCTCCCATGGTGATGGTTCAAAGGAGCAGAGGAGGTTGTTGCATTGGCTCCGCTTATGAGCAATCGCAGTGTTTCTCTTGCGCCTTTCTCAACCAGCGAATCATTCTCCACTGGGAGCGGAGTGATGCTCGTGGGTATCATCCCGGTAGGTCCAGCACTTACAAGATAGGCTTGCCCGGACGAGCATATATCGATAACCGGAATATGAACAATAGGATGGTCGCACATTATAGGGATCATCATCTGCTGTGATGATGAACCACCCGGAATGGGTATGTGGTGGACTAAAGGCAACGGAGGGATGTCAGAGAGATCGAGCGGTGATGATGGGATCAAGAACCCATCGGATGCTGATGCAGGTAATAAGGAGGAAAGAGGCGGAAGCGAAGGTAGCTCGATGGATAGTGGAGGGAACTGATACGAGGCAGATGGTGCGTGAAGAAGCGATGAGGTGCTTGGAGGGCACCAGCAGTAGTAAGGAGAAAACACTGGTGGACCCATCTTCTTCAATGGAAAGTCGGGTGGTAAGGTCATTGTACTTGCTGCTAACTCCGCTGCTTCAGAAGAATCGATCATCTGATGATAGCTTCCGTTATTATCCGATGCGGCGTCTTCACTTTCTCCTTCTGACTTGATAAAACCATCTACATTCGTGGGGATGGAGGTGATGGGTGAATTATCTTCAAAGACTGAGAAATGGCCTTCACTGCGTCGCTTTGATTTATCTCTAGAGGAGATACGTGTAGAAGAGTTTCTCAGTGTGTTTTCTTTAAAGGAGCTTGATCTAGGGCTGAGGCTTTCTTGAGCCTTTGTCAGTTGAGTCCCAGAGTGGCGTGCTCTAAGAGTTTTCGATGATGCACTACTAGAGGAGGAGGAATCACCAGTTTCGGAAGATCCAGAAGACGATAATGAATCAAGAGTTGGGACGGGACAACCTTTCATATTAGGCACCACAGAGCCCATGAGATACAAACGGAGATGAGAAGCCACAGAGCCAAGACGCGATTCTTCAATTCCAGTTAGTTCCGAGATTGATGGCTTCTTCTTGATCAGGTCTTCCATCTACACAGGAAAGGAAAAAAAAAAAATCAGATAACGAGAATATGTGTAAAGACAAGTATTTGCAAAAACGAGATCATCTCTGTCTCACAAACCTTCTGACGTAATTCAGTTCCCAGAAGTTTTGACTTCTCTGAGCACCAGTAGTAAAAAGCATTGCCATCTGCGATCCTTATAACAAACGATCTACCAGAGCTGTCTGCAGTTATCTCCTCAATTGACACCGCGGAGCACTGAGTTTTGCTGGTATAAGTAAAAAGTTGTTCTGAGTGACCATTGTCGCCGATAAATGAGAGTCGCAAGTCCGATGTTGGCAAAACCATAAGGCTCAAGCTACCCCTGGCCAATGAGAGAGAAAATGACAGAAAATTAAGTCAGCAAATCTCTAATATCAATAGAAAACCCACTAACAAATAAAAACTAGATGCTGAAAACCAGACAAGAAAATGGATAAAGACCAGTAGCTTTTAAATGCTCTCTCAACATTTGCAAGTTGTCCCGAATTCAATTACAAGAATAGAATCTACTGACATAAACATGCAAAACTGTTTACATAACAGCTGTGTTATTATTAATTATTCACACGACATAGAGTAAAGCCAAATAAAAGTTATTTCCCACCCCGAGCTTTTTTCTCTCTAGTTAGGTTTTACTGGCTATGAAATGATGATGATTGTCAAAAAAAAAATATGACAAGATGATGATTGTCTAAGAGCTTCCCGAAACAAACTTAACATATATCCACTATCATATCTTTGAACAGAATGGTAGAACACACAATAAAAAACCTTTTAAATCAGCTAAGTAGTAACAAGAAGAAATAACAAAGAATTGAAATCAAACAAAAACTATATAGTCAGTGATGTTATGACAAGCAGTGAGAACCGTTATGCCCTATATTACTAAAAATCAAGAGCAGGCTACACAACATTGGAGACGAAGCTACCTTTACTTCATCATCTACCAGAGATCATAACAGATTACGCCCAAATACCTACAATAAAAGATACATTTTATTTGGAAGCATGAACAGCATCACAATATGACTTATTTGAGTTCCTATGATTTATAAAGGCCTTTGATTTAAACCAAACCAGTCAGTCATGAATAGACCTGATTACTACGAGTTACATAGACACACAAACAGAACCAGCCAAATGGATTGACGGGGTGAGTTATATTTTTTCCACTTCTTCATGATAGAAATAAAAAACTATGTAATACACTAACCTCCAAAGTGTTAGCACAAGTTAAAACTACAAAAGGTCAGTAACACAGAGATGCAACATTTAATATGAAAACAAACATAGCAATTTAAAAACGTGCATGAACCATGAGAGCAGACATAGAGAAAAACTGGGAGAGAGTACTTTCAAGTTTCAAATACATCTTCCGAAATATGCCATAAGAAGGAACATAAGACTACAACATGCATTGTGTGTGTGTGCACACAAAAGTATCTTCAACTTACTTTGAATCATCAGATGAATTTCAAAATCACGATTGATATAGATAATCTGCCTACAAGTGAGCATTGTTTTATAAAATGGCATAATCAATGCCTCATTGCTCAAAAATCATTAATGTAACACTATTTTCTGTTATGCTACAGCTCTAACATCTTCATAGCCAGTAAAACCAAACTAGAGAGAAACACCTAGAACTAACAATTCATCACGGTCACATATTCTCTAAGACATCACGTTCCAAAGCTCAAACAGTGCCAGAAAAAAATACAGGACTCATGAAACATTGAGTCTCTCGTTGATTACCTTATGTGAGTGGGTCGCATTAGGGTCCCCTCCTTCTTGATCTTCCCGACGCGTAGTGAAACCAGAGGTATGCAAAAACATCTGGCCAGCATACCAATTTCGGCCGGCTCGAAATGCTATTCAAAAGAACAATCAATCAGATTATCTCACGCCAAAACGAGAAGCCAAAAATCATCATATTCGATTTAATCATTCAAACCTGACTAAGATGCGCGAGCAATCGATCTTCGGCCATACCGTTAGATACATTCAGCTTCAACAACGGCTTCAATCTCTCGTCACCTCGACAAGCTCCCAGGACTTGCATATCCAAAGCCTGCAACCACCGCAAAACCCTATCCTCCCCAAGCAAAAAGTCTCGTCGGCCTTCGTCAGTCAACGGATCTGAAACTCTACTATCGACCCTCGTCGGTTCGGATCCAGCGGCATCGTTAGATCGAGAATCGATGGTCGACGAATCGGAAACATCCTCGCCGTCATTAGGCCGACCGTGGTGATCGTCTCCGGCATCTCCCTTCCTAGAATCGGCCATATCAATATCGGATCGGTAACTTATCTAGATGGTAATACAAAGGAAAAAAACCAAAGTCGATCCAGAAATTGCTAAATAAAAATTCGTCCAAAACCCCTACAGAACGATTAATGCTTCAAAGAATCAATCCACAGATTTCGATGCAATTAGAGGATTTGTTATAAATTTTTTAAGAGAGAGAGACGACGGTGAGTTCTTGAATATTATCTCTAGAGAGAAACAAACAAATTGAAACGAGTGCCTTTTTTTGATTCCCTTCGCGTAGAGGAAGATGGAAATGGAAAGATAAGAAAACAAAATAGCGTCTGTATATATATATACTTATATTGAACGTAGTGGCGGATGCGAAACGATTTAGTTAAACGTGGTTATTCGATTACATTTGAGATCCGGCTCCGTTTGATTGAGCACGCACACAAATTCAAGCCATGAGCCCGATCGGTAGGTCCTACAAGTTTAGTGATGGGTCCCTCATTGTAACCGACTTCGACCAGGTGCCACGTCAACTTGAGTAATGTCTGGTGCGCTGCGATTAAATGGGCCCCAACAGAGAATGGGCCTGTATTTTTTTATTACAGAACAATATATTTCTATTTTTTATAAGGGAACAAAAATTAGTTGAAGTTGATTATTTCTCTTCTTTCTCGATGACGGACAGATCATAATTTTGTGACAAATGGGATGGATGGATAATAAATGTATGGATTAGGAATATTGATATGTATTTATCTCTCGTTCCAAATTGGGAGTATAAAAAGGGTGGATTCCAAATACAATCAACAAATGAACTTATTCAGGCCATAGAGAGAAGAAAAGGCAGCCTAGAAAGCCTAGAGTAATCCAAGCCACTCATCGTTTTGTATGTTTCATCAGCTATCATACAAAATTACAAACCAAATCATACACAATTCGTGTTGCATTTGGCCTGTATTTTATGTGTGAAATCAAACAAATACACTAAACGACAACAGCATAAGAGTGGAATATGAAACACAAAATTACAATATAAAAACAGGAACCAATCACTCATGTCATGAACTTAAGATGTGAGCCATTGGCTTTGCTAAAGATAGCTTTTATTTTGTCCAAAGGTTATCATAAAACCTCAAATTAATTCAAAAATCTTGGTTATAAGAAAAACCCAAATATTCTTATCGGGAATCATCATCTCTAACAAAAGTCGCAATCGATTTTAAATTATCTAAACGCAACATTTGGAGTTTTGGGAACATATATTTCTCCAAAATATCATCATTTCTTCTTCTTTGGTTCTTTGTCTTCTGCATAGTCCTTGATCAATGCTTCAACATCTTTCCAAAATAAACCCTCAACAAGAACTCCATCTTTCGTGAACCTGAAAAACACAAAACCCATGAAAACGAGGCACGAGTTTATGCTGCACATATATAGCGTTGAGCGCCTGTAAATATAAAATGCAGAGAGAGTAAGAAAGAGAGAGTGACCATTGGGTGACACTTTTGGTGAGCTGGACTGACTTCCCAGCTGAGATTGATTTTGGATCAGCACTGTCGATGGTGAGAGTATACTGATCAGAGAATCTGGGCAGCTTTGAAGACACCACCAAGCCAGTGCTGGTGAATGATCCCTGCGTATTAAACACGTAAGATTTCGGATAGAGGAGCAAATGATAAGTGAGCTAAACAAAATATGTTTGAACCATAGCAAAACAGATTAACCAGAGAACATTAGACTCCTTACGCGTTTTTGACATTAACAAAATTATTGCTGAAATGGTTTCAGCAAAACAATATGTAGGAGCTCTTTCTGTTGTATATGCTAGACCTAACCAATGAGTAGAGAATGAAATGTAAATCTCATCCTAACGAATACAACCTAAATGAGAAGAGTAATCTTCTTCAAGCTGGTGAGAATGAGAAGGAAAAACCACCCATACTACATTCCAAAATCATTCAGTTAGCTGAAAAATGAAACAACACTGCACCGATCTCTCAAACACCAAACGATACAAGAACTGCCACAGTCATATTGCCAAGAATTTAAGCAACCGAACAATACATTGAAATGGAAATGTAGATGCCGTAAAATATGCAAACTCTACTTAACATGTCAGGCTAGTAGAAGCACAACACCAATTCCTTACAAAACAGAAGGAATTACTTAACATGTCAGGCTAGTAGAAGCACAACACCAATTCCTTACAAAACAGAAGGAATGCAAAAGTTTGACAACGGAAATTAACATAGAGTTCCAGTTAAAAACGACTGAATGGGGGAAGTACATTACGCACCTAATCACAGAACTACATTGCCATAAACAAGCCAAGAATTTAGTCTATCCAAGATTGCTTCTCAAAAAGAAAACGATTCTCAACAGTCAGAGAACAAACCTCAAGAGGATAGGTGAACAATATCGCATTCTTCTCCTTAGTGTACAGAATCAGCTGCAACACCGCATTCAGCACTACATACTTGCCATAGTCAAGAACCACACATCTTATTCAAAATACACAACATGTATCGAGCGGCTTATATGGTCATACTAGAGACAATGAGGTTTCAAACAACATTTCAGCCACATTACAGCAATCTATCTAAACAATAAAAGACTAGAATTCCAAACTGCAATTGCCGTTTTCCATCGTCTTAGATTATATCTTACACCCTATAATTCGTAACTGTTAATTCTGGAGAGCCAAATGGGGCTCAAGCATAACGCATCAAGCGAATTCGAAGCAATAGCTGACGAAAAAAAAAGGATATAATATGATGCATCCAATCAAAAAGTTCCTGTTCTCAGGGAATTTTTTGTTGTAGAACTGGGCAACAAGAGCATCCACGATGATAATCACACCTAAGAACAGTTTGAGGTTGCTCAACCTCACATCCTCCTTGTATCCACGGCTCGTTACGATCTACGCATCAAAAAGGGACAAAAAGGAAGATCATGATTCACACAGATCAGATAAAGCCAAGGAGAATCTATGAATATTTTTCTGTGCCTTACATCGGAGACGGACTCGTCGAGGATGTGCTTGATCGAGTTGTGGTCCAACAGATTAGCCTTCTTAACATTCGTCTTCGTCGGTTCTACCTTCTTCTCTTCCATGGCGGACAGATCAGATCCAGAAAATTCCAGATCTCTAGGGTTCTGCAAAAATTCTCGTGCTCTCGAGAACGCAGAGTGTAGTAATTTCTCGACCGCAAAGACTTAAGAGAGACTGTTGTTTTGGTTCGACGAGGAGGAAGACGATATATTGATGGAGCTTGGAGACGTTTCGGTCAAAACTGGTATACTGCGATGTCGTTTCAACTATGAGAAATATTGGGCCTTAAGAATGTGACACTCTTTTTTGATGCAAAAAAAAAGTTAATTAATTAATTTATTCCTTGTGATAGTCAATTAAAATTTTAATCCTCTTTTGACAACTAATTAAACCTTCCTTATCAAAATAATATTTTTCATCATATATTTGGACTATTTAAAAGATTTTCAACTTAAAAGCTAAAGTTTTTTTCTTTATACAATCAGATTGGATAGTTAATTTGTAGAGATAAGAGGCCAAACAAAAATCAATTTGCCATACTATAAATTTTAGAGAGATTTCATACTGGAAATTAAAGATATAAAACAGTCGAAACCAATATTCTTGCAGAAAATACAATAATCAATTGCAATCATCAGGAATCCAATAGAGTGATATAACTAATGAAAGAAATTATTGGAAGTATACTTTAATCTATTTATTTATTTCAATCTTATTTCTAAATCCTATAGTTGGACTGGTTTCAAGAAGGCTTGGACTTGACTCTGCTAGAGCTCGCATTGGAGAGCAACAGCTTAGCTCCCTTGACAAGCTCTTCCTTGATCATGAACAGAACCGCAGCAGCTAAGACGCTCTGCACAATCTTTGTGCTCATCCCTTTGTAAAACCCGTAAAGCCCTTCATAACGAATCATTTTCAGAATCGCATCCAGCGTTCCTGTAATTCCAAACCCGAAAAAGAAACTCTCAGTTTTCCATCGATCCATGAATTGGGAAAATGAGTTTTGTGGCCAAACCTTTGTACTGTTGTCTTTTGTCCCCTGTTGTGACCTGTTTGGCTTGAAGTCTAGACTTTACAACCAAGAGAGGATAAGTTGTGACTGTAGCTCCGAGTTTAGCCACAGCTCCAAGAAGAAATGTCTATGAGGAAAAAAAAAAGACGTGAAAAATTGGCAATGGAGAGCAAGAAACATCTTATCAAAACAACAAATGCAAAATGTTAAGAGTCCGGACCTCCAAAGCGGTTACGTTGCTGCTACCCTTCAAGGCACGTTTTTTCTTCAGCTTTGCTAACATTGTCTCGTACAACATAAATTGCATTGATGGATTACTTACCTGTAAGTTTTAGAAAGAAAAAAAACACACCTAACAGTCAGAAGATGCACTTAGACAGACAATATAAAAAAAAAACACCTAAGTTCACATACCATGATCAATGTGGGAATTACACCTTTCCAGAAGCCAGTCACTCCAGCTTCATCGTAAACCTCTCGAATCTGAAACATCATTCATTATGTGTCACAAAAACTGTCTTAATATTGTCTTGAGAGGTTTATAGAGTTTGAATTAAGATTCTATCGAGTCAAACCAACTTATTCTGGTTTGTATATACGTGAAGCTGCCTCATACCGTATTAAAGGTCCCATAAGGACGCGGCTCAACTGGAACCAGAGCTTCTGCATCAGAAGAAGGTGACTCGGAGACAGTCCTCTGATCTTTTGGCATTTTTCTGTGGGTCTGCATTACATACAAGTATTCAACAAGAATCAGGGGGAGAAATAAAGGGGGAATAGGAGTGTGGACAAGAAAACTCATAGATTCCACTACTAAATGCAAAACTAAAATGTATGAAAATACAGAGAAATTGATTAAACACCCTGAGAATAAATTTTAGGTGGTGTATATGAAGCCATTAATACCTGCATGCGTGTAACAATCACCCAGATTGGATTCGTCATAAGAACATTAACTGATCTGCACAGGGAAAGAGCTATCATACTTCAAATGAGACAGCAGAAGAAATGGAAAAAAAAAACAGAAGATAACATTACTGAAGTATGGATGTTTAATAATCTTTGGCTGGAATGCCTTCAAAGTTTCCCCAATCAAATAACAAAACAACTATGACTATAAGACCTAACAGTTAAAGTTACACCATCCACCTAGAAGCTCCATTAACCAAATGACACTTATAAGAGCATAAAATGCTGAACCACCTAAGTGCTATTTTGCATCGAAACTGATAAAAAAAAAAAAAAAAGTATGTATGGCACTGCTAACAAATGATAATCCGCACTGTAACAGACCAAAAATCTAGCAAAATACAAATATCACATAAAGGATTGCTGTTTTACCCAGCTAAGGCAGCCACTAGAAGTGAAGAAAACATCCCAACAGATCCGTCACCCAACCCTTTCTTGCTTTGTCGAAGAGCTGCAGCTTCAACTTGATTCCGAAACACTTGGTAGAAGTAGTAGTACACACCCTGTCTCATCCAAAAAGAGAAGCAATCAAAAGGCTTAGAGAAGATCATCTTGCCAAAATGAGAAATAAAAGTATAAAACATCCACTTTCTTTCCTCTATTCTAAACCTCGAATCACAAAATGGCTAAAAATACAGATTCTCTGGATATATTAGTACAGAAGTGAGGGAATGTAACCTGTGATGCCGCAGTTCCGGCGAGAGACGGCGCCAATCCACCATATAATCGCTCCCATCCCTCTTGTTTCACAACCTTCAATACAAAAGCAATACAGCAAATCAAGCTCTCAGAAACTTGTCTAAGGGAAAGACTATTAAACGAAATATACAATCGCACAAGTATTAAGGCAAATCTTCGTTTGATCCTGAGAATCAGGAGAGACAAAAAAAGCAAAAATGAAAACCTGGCACATGTGTTCAATAGTTCCAAGTTTCCTCTTCTCCCTCTTCAGATCCCGCTCCGTTTGTTGGCGCGTATTTACCTAATTTTCAAACGATTGCAAAAACAAACATCATCGCTTCAAAACAAGAATACGATTATCCAGAAGAAGAAGAAAAAAATTGGAAAATTGGCCACAATAAGAATCGTACAGTTTGGAGAGGATAAGTGAGGAGTTGAGCAATGATCCCACCACCAGCTCCAGCCAATCCATTGATCAAAGCATCCGACATGATTTCTATCCTCCACACACACACACACAAAAATAAAAATCAGAAACAGGAAAATAAAAAATCGGAATCGGAACTAATGCCAAAGGCGAAGAGATCGAGATTACCTCAGAGGTTCAAATTGAAATCGTCACAAGACGAAGGAGAATCAAAAGAGAGCTTATGAGGCTATCGTTGATGGCGTCGGTAGCTGTTGGCAGAGCTTCTTCTCCATCCCCAATGGAAAACGATTCTTTTCGTTTCAGATGTTCATTCGAAGAAAACACGCGAGTTGACGTTGAGGAGTGTATGGATGTTTTGACTGATATACCCCTGTTACTTGAGTGGTATTACGAGACTTTACCCTATAACTTAGCTAGCTGGATAAGCCATCTTTTCTTGAATTGCGTGTTCGGTCCATATGATGTGGGAGAGGGAAGGAAAGAAGCTCTCTCTTCTCTGCGTTTTTTATGATATCATTCCAATAATATCTTTTTTGAAAGATTTTTAACTCTTCTACATTTTTGGCCGGATATGGTGATGACATTTTGATTTGCTTTTCAGGGTTCGAATAGCAATCATTCAAGTGCCATAGAGATTTGAGTATGTATGAGAGATTAATATGAACTTATAATGAAGCGAATGTGATTATCCGATTGATAATACTTTACCATCAATGGTTATTCGAATGCATATATGTATGTTAAGGAAAATATTTAGGAAACTTCACATGTTTTTCTTACTGCCAACATAGGAAACAAATAAACTAAATTAAATTAGAAAAATATAACAATTGATTCCCCTGGCTATGCGATTACACAAACACACCTAGTTTTTGAGGTTCTCTAAGTTGGGGAGAATTATTCCTTTTGGGTTAGTAAGTGGTAAGTAAATAACTAAATACTTATGCAAAAACACTTAATGTCACGCATCAAAAAAATAATTCTGTCTAAAGAACACATGAATTCTCAACACTCTGTCTCTCGCTGGATTCGAGATGTCACTTCACGGAGATTCAGATTCGGAGATTCAGATTTGAAGAAGTCATGTTCTGTCTTCTTCTGATTCTCCTTACTCTTTCTTCTCTTATGCTCCAAGGTTATTTTTAGATGTACGATGAAGGAAGTGTTTGGGAGATCGAAAACACCGTTACTGAACGTAACACAAATAATCGGAAAGATATTAGGCCCATTTTAGTATAACAACAAAGAATCAGCCCACGTCTGATAGTCGCGTGTTGTTCAGTATAAGTTGCGTGAAGCATGTGGATTTTGGAGCTAGAGCCTAGAGAGCTTGTGCATAATTTGACTAATTGTACTCCACTTGCAATAGTAATACGTGCGGGTTACTAATTTAAAATGTTCATTGATATTTTGAAATAATATGACTGGTGTTAAATTAAATCATTACACTTTTCATGGATATTAGCTTAGGATAGTATGATAAAGTTTTAGTTATATTATCAAATTGCTCATTTTTTCCTTTGTTTTAAAGACGTTTTCATGGAAGAATATGCATATGTCATGCAAGTTTAATTTAACCTATAAATATGCATATAATGATCAAAAAATTATATACATCATCAACAGGAAGAGGTTAAAGAAAACCTTACATCCGAGTTTTATCTTTCTTATAGTATTGTGAAACCAATTTAACGTTTTTCGTTCTACCATTACACCCTTATTTCTTGCATGTGTAGAGAAAATCAAGAAACAAAAAAAAAAAAATGACTTACTCGTAGTGGTAGTAAAACTAGGGAGCATCAGGAATTGGCGACGGTGGTGAGAACAGATACAACTACAAGGTGATAGCTTGGGCAAACGAAAGATGATCCACACGAAACTATAAGGCTGTGACAACTAACGAAGATCCTGCGTTTCGTGAAGTTTTGCGTATTCCTCATGATAGCCTGCGTCGTTTTTGAATCTTGACTTGTTCAGTGAGAATTCGACCGACATTTGTTTCTTTTTTATTGGGAGAGCAAGCTGCCCATGAAAACAAATGCTTATGAATATTGGAAAGTCAAACTCGAGAATTTGGACACAAATGGATATATTGTGTTGGTTATCTTGAAGTGTATATTGGCCTTGAGATCCAATGTTGTTTTTGAATTTGATCTAGTCGTAGTCTTTTATAGATAATGCTTTAGCGTTATAATCGTATATTCGTATGTCCGTGTGAATCAATTAATCATACATATAATGAGTCTGTTCCATTTTGTTACGTTTTGATGAAACGACCAGTTGAACTACAGCATTGTGTGCTAATATCGTGTTTACAGATGTCTAAAACTTTTTTTTTACAGATGTCTAAAACCTTTTTTTTACAGATGTCTAAAACTTTATACAGATGTCTAAAACTTTATACAGATGTCTAAAACTTTTTGTTTGTTTTTTGTTTTTTTTCTTATGATAAAACATTACATTCGTTAAAAGATCTTAAAATTAGTGTAGTTAATATAAATTTACACACTACTACAACTAATTGTGGAACAGTATATTTCTGTATTTTAAAAATTAAACTCAGTTTTCTATGAATTAGCAACGTTTGGTTGATTGATATAAATTGCAACTTAATTTTTTTTTCCATTGGTCTTAAATCGAAAATCTTTTTTTTTTTTCGGCAAATCGAAAATCTTTATACGCTAGAGAATAATACTAAATTCTCATGCTATAACATTTTTATGGGGTCAACTTACAGAGTTACATAACAATATTACACCGTTAAGTTATTTGAGAAAAGAAAACCAAACAGAAAAAAAAAAAAAAGAGGCAAACCGTTACGTTATTTCATTAACGCCGTCAAATTTTTGAAACATATCGCATAAATTCGCCGTCAGATTCAATCCCAGCCATAGTCTCCGGCGCTAAGACCACCTCCAAATCGACGCTCCCATTTCCATCCCTCCCCGGAAACGCCGAGATCTTCCCGTCGAACTTATTCGACCGTCCGCTTCTAACTGCCACAGGCCTTCCCCACCCGAAATCGTTGTCGTACATTGGGAATCTCGGCGAGCTTCCCATCGTGACCGAAGCTCCGTCGAAATTCCCGAGAGGAAAGCACCTCGGATTCGCCTCCCAATCCGCCACAACGCTTCGAATCTTCCCGTCTTGGTGAGCCGCCACGTTCTGGTTGAGCTGATCGGCGATCCATCGGAGATCCCGAGACAGAACATCTCCCGCCGTCGCAAACGTCGGAACGCTCTGGATCGCGTTTCCGAAGTATTCCGGTTCCAATTTCGGGCTCAATCGGTGTCGACAGTTCACTGCCATCCGAAACGTCGTCGTTTTAGAGCTCGGAAGCTTCCTCGCTCGAGTGATCGCTCGCCAGAGCAACGCGCAGAGAGACTGAAACGACGATATCTCCACCGTGTCGACGGTTTTGCTCACTGTTTTCGAAACGGCGTCGTTTCTACCGAATAAACTCTCCAGCATTTCCGTCAGTTTACCGTTCTCTTTTCCGTTAAGTTTGTCGTTGCTCTGCTTCCCCAACACCTCAACGCCGTTAATCACCGTCCAGTTTCTCTTCTTGTTCACCATCGATTTCAGCTCCAGAATCTGTTCCCTAGTGAAACTGAAAATCCGTTCCCGTAACGGCTCGTTCTCGTTGAACGTCACCTTGGGCCCACCTTGGGGTACTTTGAGCACAGCCTGTGAGATTAGCACAGACTCCCGCGTAAAATCAGGCTTACGTGTCACATTCTCAACACCTCTAGACACCTCAGCAAACGTATTGATGAAATTCCACAGCGAGGTTCCGTCAGTGACGGCGTGGTTAACGGAGCAGCCGATGAAAACGCCGTCGATCAATTCCGTCACTTGAACGGCGAGGATCGGTCTGTGATGTCCCTCGTAACTCACCGCCCTGTCGTAAGAGAAAAACTCTTTCACGACATCGGGAACGTCGATTCCGCCGATAACGTCGCGGACGTGGACGGAATTTGCGTCGGCGAAAACGAAATCTGCGCCGGCGTCATTGCAGGAGAGGAAGACGTGGCCGTCTTCGGAGGTGGAGAGACGGCCGGCGAGAGGAGGGAAGTGAGAGAGGGTGAGAGAGAGAGAGTGTTTGAGGTGAGAGAGAAGCGCGTGTGTGGGGAGGTGAGGGCGCGTGAAGAGACAACCTTTCTGGATGTAGTGGCAAGAGAGCATGGGGAGATCGGAGACGGAGAGTTTGAGGTCAACGAGAGTTGACTTTTGGTCTGGAAAGACTCTGCTTCTGGAGATTATAGTTACAGAGTTGTCGAGAGAAGGCATTTTTTGTTTTGTGTTGTTTCGTTCTCTGTTTTTTTTTTTTTTAATAAGCTCTCAAAGAGTTTATCTGTGTGTGATGGGGAGAGACTAGAAAGAGTGATGAGAGAAGAGAAAGAGAGGGGACGTGGTTTATATAGTGGAAGATAGAAAGAGGAGAAGAGGTTCATGAATCAAATGATGATGTGGATATCATTTGGCATTTATTTTATTTATTTTTAAAATTATTAAAATGGAGCCCTTTGTTCAACTTGTGTCGCCTTGTTACTTTGGAAAAGTGTTTCTTTATTTCTGAATAATGAATTTGTCTAGTAATTTGATATTTTTGTTGTTTTGTTTTGTTTGTGTAAAAGGGTGTTGAAACACATGTAACATATGAGAGAGTTTAAGGCAGAAAATCAAGAGTGAATGAATCCACACCCCTTTTTTTGGCACCTGTAAAAAAAAAAATTGAAGATGAAAACAAAACCAATGGTTAAGACGTAAGATAAGATTATGGACCATCATTCAATTTTTTGGTTATAGGTTTCATTCAATATTCTTCAATTTGTAATGATCACCAGTGGTTTTAAGCAATGATTTTAAACCACATTTAAAGGATAACTCAGTCAGATCATATTTATGATATTTCTTTTATTCACAAAAACATAATTTTGACTCTCTTTTACATACATAAATTTGAATTCATACTGTTCGTCTTTGCTGTCACCATTACGAAATAAATATTTTTAAGTTAGAAAATCTATATTAATTAATTTGAAGTTATGACTCTAAGATTATGTGAGTAATTAAACACTTACAATTTTGTGTTTGTAAAGTGAAGTGTATCTATTAGTAATTATATGAACAAAGTATAGAAAAACATATTCTTCACTTAACAAGTATAGATCACGTTTTAAAACACTAGTTTCAAAAGAGATCTCTATTAATCTCAATAATCCAAAGTATATAAAAAGGTTATGTACCAATGACGAGGAACGTATTTTAGAACGACTATAGTCATAACGAGTTGTTATATAATACTGTAAGATGTATTGCTTCATATCAAAGAAAATATCCGAAGAAAGAGGTTTACCTTGGAATTCACAAATATTGGTGTGGAATCCCCAAGTTTATTGCAGATTCTCGAGCCGAATGAATCCACGTGGCGTTCAGACACACGGATTCATTTCATACATGGCATACATGCACAAGTCAGTGTGTGAGACGAATTGCAAACCAAAAGGTATGGTCGCCTGCAGGATCAACATGTAACGTAACGGACGACTGTGTATTTAAAAGACAAAATAAATTGTGTATTCAATCAAACTTATATAAAACGTTCCTTGCCGGTTACAAAAACGGTATGTGGTGGAAACTAAAACCCGAATCCGCGGAAGAAAGTACATAATAAAGCAGCCATTTTATATAATCTTTTTTTGGCATATTTTTCCTTAAATATTTACTGAAACCAAATACAATTTAAGAATTTACCATTGTTTGTAAAAAAATGCTGAAATTTAAGTTGTTATTGTAAGAATTTAATTATTGGTTCAAGTATTTTCTTCAGAATGAATGACTATAATATTTACGGATATTGAGTTTGTGAAAACAAATAATTATTTATAATCTATATATATAAAAATAGCTTTTTTCTCTTCTGGTGCTGCCACCTCAGCAACCACCTGTACAATTATTTTTTTTAAAATTTTTTGGTTTGTTCGGTTTCTCTAATTACGGCAAATGATGAGACACTTTAAATAAATCAAATATCACACTACCATAAACTGAAATTAAACAAATCATATGAACGACAACAATCATGGAATCATCATCAAAAAGGAATTGCATAAACAGATTTTTCGACGAAAGTGATATTTTCCAGAAAAAAAAAAACTCAACTCAGCTCAGCTTAACCATAAACGCTGGACTTTCTACCAATTCCAAAAATGATCCATGAAATCCACGCCAAATTGGAGTCACCTACGACACACCCAAAAAACCAATTCCAAAGTTGAGAAACCGATCAGCTCTCCAAGATGATGACAAATAGAGGTATATCTAAGAAATCATGGGGAGGGGTTAGACCGGCACCGATTCTAGAAAAAAACACCGCAAGAGTGGAGGATACCGAAATTAAACTGAATCACCAAGAAAGAGAAGGAGGATGGAAAAATGACTCAATTAGAGACCAAAGGAATGGATATGAACAAAAGGTTGGTCCGACCAAAATTTCAATCACCCTCTTTCAATGGAAGCACCTTCTATCATTAAACCAAAATTCTAACAATAGAAGGGTTTTGCCAACATTTAAGAGAGCTATCGATTAATACCTACAATTATGAAGGGCTAAAAACGGACACGACTTTGTATAATCAAAATGGGATTTCATAAACATCGAACGAACAAAGAAATATAGCAGAAAAATGAGCCAATATAAAATAATACAAAAAATTACAGACTAAAAAAAACTCTTTCACACTAACCATCCAAACCCGATTTCAATATAGATATATTGTACTTCGACTGACTCAAGGTCTTATACAAAATATACTAACGGAGAAAGTGTTTTTACAATTACAAATTAAAAAAACAAAGAAACAAATACTTCAGAAACAAAAATAAATTAACAAGAATAAACATAACACTTCCATAACATAAACCAAAAAATTATTAAAAAAAACAACCCCGAATAATACCTTCTATAAGAGACATAAGTCCTCGAGATATAAAACTATAAAAAAGAAAAAAACACGTATATAATATAATAGCGAAGAATCATAATATAAAAGCAATGGTAAACGCTTGCGCGTAGCACGGATCACACACTAGTATTTTATATAATTATTATAAACAGTATACAACATTTTATATAATTATTTGGCAGGATGATATGATATCACATAGCGACATATATGATATAGATATCACTATCTAGCAAAATCTGGTTTGGTGTATTTGAGGTAAGATTAAGATGGAAATTGCATAAATCTTTGACCGTATGAGAGACTAGGATTCTCAAATCCAAAAGATTTTATTTCCATAGTAAAAGAAAAGCTTCTAAAACAACGCCCTTGGAATTCCAAGAGATTTGCATGGGGTTTGTGAACAACGAAGACTTGTAATGCACTTTTTGTAGCATTTGTCTTATATGATTGTATACAAATGAAACTGTTAGATATAGTAAAGATCATTAAATTATATTTCAAATAATAAACTATCATCAATCAAGTCATTCGAGATCATTAGCAAGTGTGATTAATTTTAAACACTATAAATCACTCTGTTAATGGGTTGGCATTCCTAAAATCCCGAGGAAAGTCGGCATGAAGAATCTCATATTCAACTGATACAGTCTAGTTCCAACTGCTTTGGCCACTGTCACAACACTTCAAATGTCTATATTTAACTAATTAAGTTATTGTGAGAGAAATTAAACAAACAAAAAAACTAATCATGGCTTATGTTTGAACTAACTTTGACATAAAGTGTCGGTTTCAGCAATTATTACACGAAGATTCTCGTTAACCGTCTTTTTCAGTTTTGTCGGCGTCCCGATATTTTGTATTATTACAAAACTGCCACTTGAAGTGATCATGTGCGATGCAAGAAACGAAAGCTTCAAACACAATGCTACGTTTTGACCGTTGGATTGTTGCTCCGTCGTTTGTTTATTTTCATCGGACGGATAGTTTCCAGTACATGAGTTTGTCGTCACACATTACAAAATACACAAGTGTTTGACTCGGAACCTTCTTGACGCCCCCACAGCTGATCTGATATATCATCCTCGATATTATATTTGGGGAAGTGCCTCAACATCTTTTTTCTGTCCTCGATTAATATCTTCACTCAAAAAGATCTTTCGTATATGTCCTTTTCATTTATTTAATAGGTATTTTGAGTATACATCGATCCACAAGAAAATGAAACTAATCCAAATTTTGCTTTGTAATAACTGAATACATGTGGTTGTGATCGAAAGAATTCTACATCACAAATACATAATAAATACATATATATCCTAAGGGTTCCAATAGTGACAACAGGGTGAATATTACTGAATAAATTTTGAGCGTATAAAACATGCGAATTAGACAAAACAAAAAATGCAAAATAAAACAGATTGTTTTATTTTTACAAAGCAATAATACAAATTGTTACAAAAATAACATTGTACTATTCGGGAAAGTTGATCTGAATCCATGATCAATCAGGATTATTAAAAATCGTAATTAATCGGGATTGATTTATTAGTATATATGTGCGCCACATTACAAAATTTGTATCATCCCTCGTCCTTTGGAAACACTAAGAATTGTCTTGAATATATATGAAACTATAAATAATTTAGTTGTTGATCAAAAGTATAATTTAGTTGTCCGGTGATAGAAGTAAATATAAATTTTGTTAGATTAGTTTCTCTATAAATAAATATTAATTTTGTTAGATTAGTTTCTCTATCGCAAGATTAAGACGTAGCTTTGAGATCTACCACGTGTATGACAGGTTGACAGTTCAAGCCAAGCTTTTATTTTCCGAATATTGAATGTATTTTGTATTGGGTTTTAATACCTAAAGTAAGATGTTCTCTACGAAAAATGTGTGAATTCAGGTAAATTAAAATGGTTGTTATACTATTCTGTTTAGTTTAATGAACAAAAAATCTCGCAAACTATATTGTTTTGGTCTCCTGTCTAGAAACTTTGCGAGTCAAAAGTCCATAGGTTATTGGTAACAAACAAAAAATCTTGTCATTTAATTTTAAAAGAGTAGTATACTGCGTATATAACAGAAACTAGCTAGTTTCTTCGACGGGATAACAGACTAAAATATGTATGAAATTACAAATCAGCACTCGTAACCAATTTAACTTTAGATATTTATACACGTTGGTCTATATCAACTGTTAAGTGTGGGATATTCAAAAGTCAAGATCATTGGAGTTTAATACACAATTTGGTGCATTTTGGGATATTTTGATGAGTTGAAACATGTAGATCGATATAAACTATTAAGGTTGGAATTACTCAGGTTTTGAGAATTCGAAACTATACGACAGCAAATAGAGCTGCAAACCCGATGGGGCCAAAACATATT